ATTTTTTCGGATGGCTGAAAATTCTAGAAGGAGTTAGGAGAAGAAGGTTTTGAATATTTATTTGTGAAAGATAGTATAAATTTTGTGGATAACGAGTCTGGCTGTCATATAAATACGATAGAGATTACGAGGCGGTATGTTAAAACTATGTGTCCTACTTATAATTGGAAAAAACGATTTTGAGTTCTATTGGGTTGTTTTTATGTTTTTCCATTGCTGGATGGTTATTTTACGCTACAAGAGTCGACAGCAAGTTATGGGCTGCCAGATGTCGCTGCTAGTGAAAAACAGGTCTGCCCGACATCCTATATTCTCTGAGTACGGAAGTTGTTGAAAGCGCGCGAAAAAGTGTTGTCGCGTCGTTAATCAGGGTTGTGCAGTTGACGTACTAAGTAGACAATGGCTTTGTATGTGTTTTCGCCGCTGATTTCTTCATATTTAAACGAAGAATACGGTCGTAGATCTCTGAATAGTAGGCGAATTTATAGAAAATATGTTGATGCTTTTGCTCTGTCAAAAGATGTTTCCACAGCGTATTTCAGATTGCCAAAATTTAGTTACTTTAATTTGTGATGAACTGAGAGAGTATTTGGAGGCACATCCAGAAAACAAAAATGCAATTTCTAATGAAAGGTTATTTATACTATTCTTGAAATGATAGATATAAATTGTATGCATCAAAAATGTAGAAGATAATAAGTTTATCAAGCACATAAACCTTCTTCATTTAATACAAATATAGATATCTGATAAGCTTCTACTCGATTTATGTACACCAAGAATTAAAATTATTTACTTTAAATCTAACAGTTGAATACCTTACGAACAATATTGTGAACACAAAAAGGAATGTCGTTCATTATTACGTGAAATGTACACTACTGTAAAAGAATAATAATAATAATAATAATAATAATAATAATAATAAAACTATAAAATAGCTTTATAATATTTTTTCAGTACAGTACTACTACTAGTGTGATATTTTAAAAATAAGTTTTAGCCAGAGGGGCTATTAATTTCGTTTTGCCATTTGTTGGCGTTTCACGTAATGGCGTTCGCTTTTTAAATCGTTGCCACAATATTATCACTCTGTATTATATTTATGAATTTAAATAAGAGGAATCTTAAATGTAGAATGTTCTCGCCCTGTGATAAACAACGGTATGTAGAGCCATGAAATTCTGAATAACATGATCTTCTATCCTAATATTGGCATCCGGAGGCCCAAATTTGGAACTGAGAATTTGTTTTATTATCTATTCCATATTTTGTAAAGCATTTATGAGTTTTTGATAAAGAAACACAACGATTTCAAAGCAAGCAATGGCAACATTGTACGGGGAGGGGGGGGGAAAAAGAAAAAACATTTCCATCCCTAGCATGCAAGACTATGTATCGGAAATTCTCTAGATATGCTTTTTTAAAATTATATGATATTGCTGTTGAAATGAATTTTATGGTTTAAGTGCGAAGAACATGATGTTTAATAAATAAAGGTAACACGCATGACGTTTTACAAAAAATAGCCTTTTTTTTTTATTATTATTATTTTTTTATTTTGTGTGTGTAATTTTATAACGTTTTAAAACTGGTTTCTAAGGGAGGACTTTCTGAGGGAAACTGGCTTGTATACACATTACACATGGGGAAAGCCAGGAAAACGGCGATGCGACCAGCTCGCTCGCGGGATTCGAACCTCGGACCAAACTACCTGCGTTCAGCTACTCTACCGCTCGGCCGCTGATGGGCTTATTAGCAGAATTATACTGCATTATTATTGTATTATGCTATAAAGTAACAATGCTATAAGACTGAGGGGTTGTTCATGGAATAGTACTTTTGTAATCTATTAGTATTAAAAAATCATTGCTTCTTTGAAAAAAAAAAAAAAAAACTGTTCATAGCAGAGTTTTTATTTTTATATTGTAAAAGAGATATTGATTATTATTAGTTTTCTATTTAAAATGCCCTATAAAAATAGGCAGATAGCCCTAGTGTGCTTTGCCATAATTAAATAATTCAACCCTATTTAAAATGGGTCGAAAAGCTGGTTTGACAAGGATTTCAACAGCAGGAGACCTATACTGATTATTTTTACTTTAGTACTTGCTTTGTGAAAATAGTATTACTATCTTTTAATTATTTTCACAGAATAAAATCTTTTGAGAAGGAAGAATATTTAAAACAAGCAGTTCTTATATATATATATATATAAATTAAAATAACAGCAATGAATATTAAAAAAAAAAAGGTATTAGTAATTGGGTGACAAAAATTGCAAAACAAATTAATCACACATACAGGATAGATTAGTTTAATTTGGTTATGTATTTTATATTGAAAAGATATTTTCTTTCATGTTAATTATAGAACAAAGTATTTAAAATAAAGCATTTTGATGCACGTGTGATAGCTGAATGCAACAGCAATCGGCCATACTTAATAGCGAATGAATTTTATTTCTTTTCCTGAAAGAAAAAATTTTCATAGAAAAAGTAAATAAAAAAATGAAGAAATATTAAGAAAGAAATATTTTCTTTCTAATTTCTTACTTAAAGAAATATTTTTCTAATATTAACTGTAAAATAAATTGTGTGAAAAAAGTTTTAATGTAAGCATGAAAAAAAAAAAAAAAAACTTAGTTTGCTAATTAGATTGTAATGCAAATTGATCACATTATAAATTTAAATGATTAAAATTGTTTCTTTCTAAAAGGATTTGAAGCAAGTTTAATTCATTTACTCTTATCTATTTACCGTTGCTTTCGTGGTATCCCATATCTCTCTTTATTTGGTACTATTCTGTTTTGAGGGCCGTAAAAAAATTGCAGCGAAAATTTATGCACAAAAGCGCCCATTTAACAGCGCGCCAAATCTAGCGGACGCGCTGATTTCAGACTGCGTAAGTTTATATAATTCTATATTTCTTAAGATGCCACTGAAATACTAGTTTAATTTTTAAATCCTTTTTTGATTTAATTTTTTTTTGATATCCTATGGATTTAACAATTTGGGAACTGCCCATGACAAAAAATCGGCAATAGAATTTTGGGTAGAGTGCAGAATCCTCCACTGCTTGATGCGTTTTTTAAGAACTGCATATACTCGGTATCAATGTGCACATCGACCTATTTTCAAAGAAAAGGCATCATTCATTATAGAAAATTACGTCTGAACAACCAATGAGATGAAATTATGCTTTAGCGATAAGTCGGTAGCGAAATAGCGATGCAGGCATCTATTCATTTACGTTTAGCAATTTTTATATAAACTATAATGATCTGAAATAGCTATTTACTCTTTTGCTTCCATTCAGTCATGTTTTCATGTTTAGCCTTTTTCATATAAATTATAATAATAAAAAAGTATTATATGATATTAACCTTTCATCTAATTTAAAACATCAATCTTAGATAGTTATTTACTATTATACTTCCTTTCTTGCCGCAATTATTTTTGGCAGCATTGGCATCAACACTAGTTTGGCAATTTTTTACAGCCCTCGAAACCGAATAGTACCCTTTATTTCTTAGCTCTAAATTCCTGAGTTAACTTTGCCCTTAAAAACGGGATTTTCCTTCACATAACACAGCAGCATATTCTGCTGCGTGTTGGTCATAATACTGTTTTGTGCGATTTTTTCGAACTACAAATGCAGCGTGTGAGTTAGTAAAATAATGAAAGAATATTCCTAGAACTTCAACCAGCACACGCTATAAATTTCGTTACTCGTCTTTACTGTGATTGGTCTCTTTGAAGCCTTGTCCCCTTTCAGAAAAGTCAAATGGACTCACCCGCCCACCAATTGAGGACCACAAAAGGCTTTCTCCGATAAGTTGTGATCAATAAGTGTTGTCCATACTGTTTTTTTTTTTTTTTTTTTGAGTCAATATTGTTCGCTCAAGTTGTACACAGATCCAGTGATCATAGAATAGGCGTCCTGTTCTGACACGGGAGAAGATCCTTTTCAGAAATTTGTGGTGAAATTGTTTTGGTGATGTTTGAAATTGATATTTCTGCTGTTGAAGAAGCATAGTAAGGGCATTTTATTTTATTGTTGTTCTTATTTTGTAGAATGTTATGTTCATTGTTTTTTTAGTACAGATTTCTGTAGTCATTGTTATTTTTTGTATTGTTTGTAATTTATTTATTTTTTTATTAGTGCACAGTGCTTAGATTGTGCAATTTGTAAATGTTTTTTAAAGTTTAAACAGAACGCTGTATACATGGTATTGTTCTGTTAATTTATTTAAGCGAGGCGTGCGTAGATTATAGATTCCTTAGCTGCATAGATTGTGCAAATCTGTGATGTTTTTTAAAGTTAAAACAGATCTCTGTGTACATGGATTCTTGTCAAATATTTTTGGTTAGAAACTTTCTGTTTTTTATTTTTTAAATTTTTGTTTCGGATTTTTAGCTTAAATTGTGAGTTCAATGCGTGGTTTTTGCACCTGCGAAAACAGCATTTTTGGAGACATTTTAGGCTTAAACTTTGAAATGTAGACAAAATATTTAGATAGTAATATGGCAGTGTGGAGTTTCTCATAAAAAATATTTGGCAAGAAATTTGTTGCCAACCGAGGGCATACACAAGGGTAGTTCCATAAATTTTTGTGCTCCGACGCACACAAACATAAAATGCAGTGTTACTATATAGTATGATTAAAATCTTTATCAAATTATAAGTTTGTGCACTTAAAATACCAAAGCTACTCAGGTTTAAAAATGATTTAAGGTAAAGCAAATATAACAGTTACATTTCTTAATGGTGATTTTCTTTTTTTCAAAAGCCTTATTTTACAATTTTATGCTTTTATGTCACAAAAAAAAAAAAAAAAAAAAAAAAAACTATGTTATGCTGGAATTCTGCTCTGAAAAAATGAATTACTGAAAATTACATTTTTTTTAAAACGTGAAATTTACAAAAATTCTTCACTCTTACAAAAAATAATTGTATTAAACATATATTTTGGACACAAAGTACAAGCACAAACGTACCTTAGGCCATTTTGAATGAAGTTCTCGTGCCTTAATAGCATCTTGCAATGCACGACCAAATTTTCCCACTTTAATGTATGCAGCAGAACGATTACTGTACAGCACATGATTTCCAGGATCAAGAACAATAGCTTCAGTATAAAGCCTAATGGCAGCTGAAAAATCTCCACTCTGACAGGCAGCATTGGACTGACGTACCTTTTCCAGAAACAGTGACTTATTTGATGGCTCTGATTCAAAATTTACTTCCAACTGTAAGACATGAATACACCATAAATAGCAATTCAGAATCATGATCACAATTATTTTTAACTACAAACATTTATGAATGCAAATACAAGATGATCCAAAATAAAGGAAGGATTTAATACTTTGAAAAGTATGTATAATAGCATGATGCAGCTTCACAGTGCGGCAGTTCTTGTCACTGCTGGTTTAAGATTCTATGTAATACAGAGTTGTCAATAGCTTCAGCTAGAGTTGTCAATTAAATGACAAATGTTGGTTGATCTTTACAATATGGTAACTGGTAGTTTGGCGACATTTTGGAGGCGATAAAGGTTACTACCTGGGACTTTGGTAATAATGTGAGCAGTACTCAGTTCCGATTACGCATTATTTTGTGTGAGGGAAATGAGAGATCATGGGATATGTCACGTGATATTAATGGACGAATTACGGTTCTTTAATCGGAAAAGGGGGGAAATCGGGAAAAAATCTGGAAATTTTTATTGCGTTTAGCATTTTGTATTTAGCTTCATAGTGTGTTGTGTGAAACAGTGTTGGTTAATTTTTGGATCCCATGGCCCGTAACTAAAGTGAATTTCGAAATGGGTATTTAGTGGTATTGAAAAGGGTAGTAATAAATGTTTGTTTAAGGTTGTGCGAGATAGAAATAAAGATGTTTTTATTAAGTTATTTATTTTACCTGGTACCTTGCTGTGAAATATAAGTATGATTTAAAGATCCTGAAACAGAAAGAAGAAAAGTTTATCGGACACGTAATCAAGATTCTGAAGAAGATTAGGTAAGTTAGTATTTTTAATTATTTGAGGATATTATTTTTATGCATTGTTCTAAATGTAAGGTGGAAAGGATTTGGTATTATTGGGAAAATTGTTATTAGCAATGATTTAGTTTAAGTAATTAGGATTGTAAAGGTAATTTTTATTAATTTAATGTATGTGCTCATTTCATATTTTAAGTAGTGTTTTTGAATTTAATTATATTTTAATGAAATGATAGTTATTTTGTGAATTTTATGTTTGTAGGAATTTGGTATACGTTTTAGTTGAAGTAAACATGCATGGAAATAATTTAAATATCTGACACTAAGTATTTGTAATGGTTGCGGTATGAATTCGTTGGTGACGTTTATAATAGATGATTTAGAGGTAAAAGTTTTTGGATATTTTATTTATTTTATATGTGGAAATGTTCATATTTGGAAAAGGTAAATACTTTTTCGCGATCAGCTAATTTCATATATGTTCTTTTTACCGGGTTTAAAGATTGAGAAAATTGTCATGTATTTTCGTGAAATTTTTCTAATTTATGAGAAAAAAGCAGTGTACATGGATATAGTGAAGAGTGTGCGCAATGCCATTTTTGTGCAATTCTGGGATGTTTTTTTAAGTAAAAATAAGTCTACGTGTACATGGTTTATGTGTATGTGTTATTTTGAAAAATGCGTAAGGAGTATGGTATTGTGATAGGAGATTGATAAACGAATGATTGATAAACGCGTAAGGAGTTGGTATATTTCACTTTTTCCCAATTTTGCAGTGAATATTTGTCATGATTAAGCAGTTTTGTTTGATAAAATTTCTAGCATAAGTGTAATTTGGCTAGTAGATTGTTGGAAGAAGTGTTCAGTAAATAAAGAGAAAAGAAACATGTCTTTACTTCGTGAAGACAAAATGGCGCCGGGGAAAAAAAAAATAGAGGGTTGCTGTAGGAGAGTTGGTTGCCAAATTTTCGCCAAAAAATCGCCAAGTTACCATAATGTAAAGATCAACCCAAATGTTTGCCAATAACAGGTTGCTTTCTTAGCTGCTCTAGGTGGCTGATTTCGGAACCTGGGGATTTTAGGTTCTGTAATTTGATGCTACAGCTAATCTGATCAAAAACAGATGCCTTTTTAGCCTAGTTAGTAAAGTGCTATAAAAGAAAGTACACAAGTACAGGTAGAAATAGGCGGGTCAGCAGAATTTCACCAGTGGTCATGCATGTATAGTTTCACTTCATTAACACCCTAAGTTTCAGGGAGAAACCCAGGAAGCAGTCTGAGGGTCTCCCGCTCTCCCTATAACCAATCTCTTGAGAGGGTTCCGACTCACCATGTATTTTGTGTGCCCCCTTTGCCACAAACCCTATATGCTTACAAATACCCATGCATTCCCTGAGACTTAAATCTGGATCCATCAGTAAGGCACCTCTGGGTGGGAATAGAAATGCACAGAATAACATGGGACTTTTTTTAATAAAAACATTTTGTCAGAATAATTACGTTTTTCACCAACTGGTAGTACAGTCAAATACCGAAAACCCGCCGACCTGAAATTCGGCAACTCCTGAAATCCGTTTTGCCTCTCAAAATATAAACATTCAGTTTATAGGTTCCGGAAACCGCAATATTGAGTACGAAATATCAAAGAAAAAATACTTACCGAATAATGACATCATAATTACCGTATAATAATGAGTCATAAAGGAAATACCAAATTATTGACATTATGATAAAACGTTTAAAAAATAAGATCCAAGTTTTTTGCATAGATCTTTGAAAATCGCAGGCAATTCACTCAATTCTTCTTTCCATTTACGATTCACATTGTTGTACTTTTCCATTTACGATTCACATTGTTGTCACTTTCTGAGCTCTGTCTGAGCTTTGTTACTTCACGAGATTGTTTAGTGCAGCCTTTTTCTTATCCTGATATTTTGTGGATAAATTAAGAATATTTTAAATTTCAGCTCTTTTTAATACAATGACAGATAAGAAATGCACTCATGATTTTACTGCTTGCAACGTTGAAAAATAACTACAAATATCTAATGTCACAGCCATCGTTTATGAGAATGGTCATTAGATGTAGCATGACATTTTGTACAGCATCAAAGTGTGTTCATCTGAAATTCTAGTTACATGATGGCAAATAGCTTCGCAATATGGCAATAACATCAGCCAGCATATGTACATCTGAAACTTCCAATGTAAAATATTTAACTATTTTAACAATAAAATATCTCTAAATTTGTTTAAATTTAAATTTAAATGGCATAAGGATATAATGCCACAGACACAGTATCCAACAAGTGTTCAAATGCTCTTTGTATGCTTCTGCAATGATTTTGATAAAAGAGAAAAACATAGTAAAACACACCAAATAGGTTAGCTGACAACTCAACACATTTTGAATTTTGATTATCAAATATAATTAAACAACATTTGCTTTAACAATTATGTACACTTTTTTTACTTCCCAGAGAGAAATATTCTCGCTCAGTAATTACAAACATCATGAAAATAATAGAATAACATTTTAAAATAATATAAGGTTGTTTGTAATAAAGCAAATATTGCTTTGGGAGGATGAGAAACATATATATATCCAAAGCCATATTTTTACAAATATTTCAGATATAAATTCTGTAATCTGAAAACAAAACTTATCAGAATAAGGAATGTATTTAAATCACCTTATGTTAAAGAATAACAATGGCATTAAATAATTTTATACCTAGAGTAAATAAATAAACTAACATATTTCATCTGCTTTGGCATGCAACTCAACAACGGACATGAACTCTATCAAAATCACCTAGCTGAATACAAATTGATATATATTGTAACTTTTGATGAATATGTATCTACCTAGATGAGTATTAAAAAACTGATTTACTATCATAAAAGTGGAAGACAAGGACCTACAAATTGTGTTTGAAACTGCCAAAGGAACTTTCTGCAAAAGATTTACGATTATAATTTTCTCCTAGAAGAGGAAATTAAAAGGAATGAATTCTTTGTATTATTCGAACAGTATCTTAAAAACTTTTTCAAAAAGAAATTTCATCTCTTTTTATCTTAAAGTTCTGAATAAAACTATTCCATATCACAATAACATCACCCATCATACATATGAACCTATTATGAAATGTTTCTTAAAAAATAGCAAAACGCTTTAAATCTCATAACTATTGTTCATAGCCTTTCAATTTCAAAATTATTCAGAAAGAGTTAATGTTCGACATTATCAGTTCACTTCTAACCATATTCCATTTTTAAAGAAAATCGCTATTACAGTGAAAAATTTTTATGTACCTGTAGGTTTTATGAATATAAAATAGATAAGATAGAAATAATTATGTCATATTTATTGCGCTACTTATAGTCACAATAAATGTGACATAATTTAAAATGTGATATAATGCTAAGTGATATGCCTAGTTAAGTAACAATTAATGTTAATTATCTCAAAGTTTTCTCCCTCAGAACTTTTAAATCTGTCATTTAAGAAACGTTTTGAAGGAAATGAGATTTGAAAATTGAAGATGCATCAAAATAATGAGGTATGTTTTTAAGGGCAAATTCCCATGACAAACATTTAACAATATTAATAATAAAAATGAATTTTTGAAACAAATAAACCTGAACTTCTAAACAGCCAACGGGTTCTCTGCCGATGAAAACCCATTCTTTAATTTACCTATTTTACTGCACCAAAGTAATTAAAAATCAACATATTTTAGTTTTATTTAAAAAATTAAATTTTGCTAAATATATATCATGCATGTTTGAAACTCAGATAAAAAGGGAATAAAAAAAAAAAAGTACAACATACCTTAGCAAAAAATCGTTACACATAAAAAACCGGGACTAAAAATGTTTCTTTTAATGAAACCAAATAAAGGAATGGCAAGAAAATTTTGTGCATCATAAATCACAATAATCATTCCCATATATTTTATCATAATTTATAAAAAATTCACTTACGTCCTCTGTATCTCTTTGATTTGACGCTTCCATTTCTGGATATATTAAAAATTGTTATCTTACGTTTCATTTCTTTACTTTAATAAATACCAGCAATTACGAATTTAAATTCACACTTTATGGCAAAAAAATAATGACAACAGCGAATCCTGAAATTCTTGACAACGTACATGCATCACCGACACAAAGAACACAAGCTGACAGTAAACTTTCACTCAATTTTTTACCCATTCTTCACACAACAAATGAAAAAATCACGAGAAACTGCACCAGACACAGACGAGAAAGGAATGTGAGGAATGACACCACACATTAAACATATAACAACTAAATTCCTGACGCATGATTGGATCCATTAAAAACAATAAATAACAATGCATATTAAGAAATTTATATATTACAGTTAAATAATACACACATAATTAATTTACATTATTATATAAAAACATTAACTAATGATTACTGATATCAGTCAGCTACGGTTAGTGAAAGTTAACATTTTTTGCCGTTCCTTGTTCTAATAAATAAACAAATAAATAAAATGGGCCTGAAGCTATGCAAAATAAAATCTCAGTTTTAACTTTTTCAATCAAATTTAATATTGAAAGAAAACCAAAATATAGTAAATACTTATTTTTTTTTTAATTAATTCTGTTTTACTTTGTTAAAATATTCCAAAGAGGGCTACCTTTTGTTGCATAAGAAAGGTATTTTTACAAAATAGCAAATTTTTTCTCCCAATAGTCAAAATGCTAAAAGATTTCTGACAAAAATTACTTGATTTTCAATTAGTTCAAGTTGCGTTAAGAATATATATATATATATTTTACGATACTTTCATTCTATCGTCTGTCCACTTATCCGCGGACCGTAATGTCGGTGTTAAAAATGATCAGATGTCTCGTTTGTGAAAGAAATTAATTATTTTCGTGTGTGTATTTTTGCTTGAATGAGAAGAAAGTAAGTATTTTATTTAAAAAAATTTAACCTTTGCTTTAAACATAAAATATATATATTATTTGAACTGAGTATGAAAAGAAGGTGTGTCTTGTTGGAGAGTAATTGAAAGGTCTGCCTTGAAAATAACCGTTGGTTTATATGCTGTTTAACCGTTTGTCATTGAAATGTTTTAAAAATTGCTACAAAAAATTTACAGTTTTTAACTTCCATTGTTTATCAAATTATTATTTTGCCGGAGAAATGCTATATAAATTAAAACTCGAATATATGTTTTCAATAGCTTTGAAACTCTGAATAATGATAAAAATATAGTTTAGTAGTAATTTGTAGTCGTAAAAATGTAGTCTTCGTGGCGCGCAATGAACTGGAAGTTGATCTGTCAGCATCTTCAGGGCAGATGTTTTTATTTTATTCGGCTTATAATTCCTCACTAAATGTAGTGTTTCATTTCGATGTACTCCGATATAATTTAAATCAAATTCCTCGTCATTATAAATATCATGATTACACATCAAATAATTTTCTGGTTGCAATTTTCTAATTTCGACTATGCGTAATGTATGCTTTACGCTTGCGCGCGTTGAAGGAAATGTTTATAAAGTAAACAAATAAATATTAACCCATTAACCGCCAAAACTACAAGGAATGTTTCTTTTCTCATGAATATAATAACAATATTAAATTATATAAATGCTTAATTTATAAAATAAATTTACATTGAAAATAAAAAAAAATGCTCTTACTTGTGGAAAAAGTGAGTGTTGCGTTCATGCAACGTCAGCGGAATAAGACTACGGATGTTTAGTGAGTAGGATTGTACTCGTGTGATGTTTCTTTTGAGTGGAGCACAGGATTACTTTTTAGCTGTGTAATGTTTTATAAATCTACAAATCACTTTACTTGTAATTAATTTAATATTAAAATATACGGTTGATCTTTACATTATGGTAACTTGGCGATTTTTTGGCGAAAATTTGGCAACCAACTCTCCTACAGCAACCCTCTATTTTTTTTTTCCCGCCGCCATTTTGTCTTCACGAAGTAAACACATGTTTCTTTTCTTTTTATCTACTGAACACTTCTTTCAACAACCACTAGCCGAATTACACTTATGCTAGAAATTTTATCTAACAAAACTGCTTCATCATGACAAATATTCACTGCAAAATTGGGAAAAAGTGCACAATACCATATCCTTACGCGATTTTCAAAATAACACATACACATAAACCATGTACACGCCGACTATTTTACTTAAAAAAACATCCCAGAATTGCACAAAAATGGCATTGCGCACACTCTTCACTATATCCATGTACACTGCTTTTTTCTCATAAATTAGAAAAATTTCACGAAAATGCATAACAATTTTCTGAATCTTTTAACCCGGTTTAAAAAGAACTAATGAAAATTAACCTGATCGCGAAAAAGTATATACCCTTTCCAAATATGAACATTTCCCCGTATAAAATAATAAATATCCAAAAACTTTTACCTCTACATTATCTATTATATTACAAACGTCACTAACTAATTCATACCTTACTTCATTACAATGGTTACAAATACTTAGTGTCAAATATTTAAATTATTTCCATGCACGTTTACGCAAAATTACTTTACTTCCACCTACATTTAGAACAATGCATAAAAATAATATCCTCAAAGAATTAAAAAACTACTACTTACCTATTCTTCTTCAAATCTTGATTACGTGTCCGATAAACTTTTCTTATTTCTGTTTCATGATCTTTAAAATCATACTTATAGTTCACACCAAGATACCAGGTAAAATAAATAACTTAATACAGCATCTTTACTTTTATCTCGCACAACCTTAAAGAAACACTTATTGCTACGCCTTTCAATCCCACTAAATATCCATTTCGAATTCACTTTAGTTAGGGCCATGGGATCCAAAAATTAACAAACACTGTTTCACACAACACAGAATAAAGGCAAATACAAAATTTCCAGATTTTTTCTCGATTTCCCCCTTTTTCCGATTAAAGAACCGTAATTCGTCCATTAATATCACGACATATCACATGATCTCTCATTTCCCTCACACAAAATAATGCGTAATCGGAACTGAGTACTACTCGCATTATTACCAAAGTCCCAGGTAGTAACCTTTATCGCCTCCAAAATGTCGCTAAACTACCAGTTACCATATTGTAAAGATCAGCCAAATATACATTGTATTTCTTTTACAAATACAGATTATTTCAACTAAAAGATTCAAGCATGAATTATAAGCTTGATTATAATCATGATGTAAAGCTACATTACATACTTTGCATCTGTAAACAGTCTGGCTATGATACTCTTTACAACAAAGTCTTTTGTTATCAACGGACTTTACGATAAAATGTCTACCATTTCCCTGCAATGGTTTTTGAATGCTGAATTTACTAGGTCTTCCTGTTGCTGATCTATTTCTGGCTAATTCTACACTCTCAATAGGAGTTTGCAAAAGGAATAATGCATTCTCGTGTCTGAAATCTAAAAGAGACTTTATATTTCCAATAGTAAAAATTGGTGATATTTAGTAAGTTTAGATACGGTCTCACCTCATGTAATTTATCAGTATTGTCAATTTGACTATTGTCAAATGCAAATTCTGCTTCCTATTCCTGTAGTGCAAATGTGATATCGATTCTCGTACAACAGGAACAGAATTGTCCTTATCAAAAGACCAATACATTTTTTCTTGAGGTAAAGAATGATATCCTGTAAGCAATAATATTCCAATAAATATTCTCATATAGGCTTCAGATGCAATAAATTCTGGGCTTTTTTTTTTTTTTTTTTTTGCTGAGCGTTTATATTTGTCTGTTCATCAAGAAGAGAGTAAATGTCTAAACCAAAAAGAAAATCGAAAATCTGCACACTAGTTTTACCTTGTATTTTGTCCTTTATAATTTCTCGGCTAATCTTTGGAATATGGTAACAGGTAGTTTGGCGACATTTTGGTAAGGAGATAATGATTACTAGCTAGGACTTAAGCAGTGTACATGGATAAATTCAAGAGTGCGCGCAATGCCATTTTTGTGCAATTCTGGGATTTTTTTTTAAGTGAAAATAGGTCGACGTGTACATGGATGATACCGTATATGTGCAATTCTTAAAAACGCGGCAAGCAGTTTGCGATTCTGCACTTTCTCCCAATTTCGCACCTAATCTTCGTCATGATTAAGCATTTTTGTTCCATAAAAGTTCTAGTATAAGCGTAATTCGGATAGCAGATTGTTGAAAAAAATGTTGAGTAAAAAAAAAAAAAAAAAAAAAAATTACCTTTACTTCGTGATAACAAAATGGCATCCAAAACAAAACTAGCAGGTTGCTGTAGTAGGTTGGTCGCCAAAGTTTCGTCAAAAAAATCTCCAAGTTACCATAATCCAAAGATTAACCAATTTCTCTTCTATCTCTTTCTTCATGTTCTTCCTGAGACATAACTAACAGTTCCTTTTTTATCCACTTCAAGATTTCAGTCTTCTGCTTTATAGCGTCCAAAACAAAACTAGCAGGTTGCTGTAGTAGGTTGGTCGCCAAAGTTTCGCCAAAAAAATCTCCAAGTTACCATAATTCAAAGATTAACCAATTTCTCTTCTATCTCTTTCTTCATGTTCTTCCTGAGACATAACTAACAGTTCCTTTTTTATCCACTTCAAGATTTTAGTCTTCTGCTTTTTAAACTTTTTAGTATGACTAAAACTGCTTTTAAAAGGCTGAAACTTACTTCTTACGTGAATTTAAAACTTCCCCAGCAGTGATACATTTGGTCGAAATATGCAGGAAAGGAATAACAATTAACAAAACATTGTTATTCCGCTCCTCTTCATCACTAACTTCTGCAATTTCTGGTGGAACAACAACAATATCAGTTTCATTCCGGTCATTATTAACATTATCATCATCTGTTTATTCATCAAAAAATCTTTGAAGGCTTCTTCTAATGTAAGATACCTCGTTCTAGGCATTTTTAAATAACCAGGAATGAGTGAAGAAGGAGATTGACTACCCGTTTCCTGCTGACGTTGCGTTAGCGCAACACCTGTTTTCCCTTCCTTCTCAGCACAAATATAAACATCTGACTGATGTAATGTTCTGATAAACGGTGACCTTGACTAAAAATAGATCACTCATAAAGACGGCGATTCTTTCGTTAAATATTTTCAGCAAAAATACCCGGTCGAAAATTTTGCTTAAAGTATGAGATTAATTATTATAAAACAAATCATTGTTGAAGGCAATATTTTTTACAGAAATAATCTTCATAATATTCCCTACACAAAATCATATGCTGGTATAAAATATCTTAGGTAATATTTATATACCCATTTATTTTGACCGTTGCGTCAACACAACACCAGCAGTTAATGGGTTAAGCTTTTTTTTTGTAAATAGATCATAATTGCTCTTTATTTCATAAATTACGGTTTCATATTTTTAATTTTATAATTTCTGCATGTCATCTTACCAGATTTAAACTGATGATCTATAATCAGAAAAAACCGATAATCCGGAATCGCCGAGTCCTGATGAGTCCGGATTAAAGACTTTTGACTGTATAATTTTATTTTGCTTTATTATTATTTTAGGTATCCTATCAGGATTATGTAAGACACACAGTATTATACACTTATATGTGAAACTGTTAGCAATATGTGGGTTTATACAGGACTATGTAATCATGTAGTATGTGATCTACCACTTTTAGTTAGTTATTTCGTAGGTGTTGCCACTAAAACTCTATTTTTTTATTCAAAAGTAGGATGGTGAGAAAAAGAAATATTTAAAACAACCAATTTTAGTACTGCCACTTGAAAAATAAATAACTCGCTAAAAGCAGTAAATAGCATACTACGTGATTACCTAATAATCTTATATTATAATGATGCTGGGTAAACAAAGATTTTAATAATATACAAATCTTGCCTTAAATAAAACTTGAAATTATGGGTTACAGTCTTAAAAGGTTCATGGTTCAAAGTAAATTTTATCCTTTATTAAATAAAAAGGAACTACTCTGATATGTACTCTCAAGTCGCCAAAGTTCTCACCAAACATTTTTGGCAATTTTTTGCAAGCTGCCCTATTACTATCTAAATTTTTGGTCTACATTTCGAATTTTAAGCCTAAAATGTCTACAAAAACGCGGTTTTCGCACGTGTGCAAAAACCACGTTTTGAACACACAATTTAAGCTAAAAATCTCCCTCCCCCCCCAAAAAAAATGTAGACTGCAAAAACGTAAAGTTTCTAATCAAAAATATTTGACAAGAATCCATGTACACAGCAATATGTTTTAACTTTAAAAACATCTACGAATGGCACATTCTAGGAAACGAATGAATCTACGAACTACACACATCTCGCTTTAATAAAATTAATGTAACAACAATAAATTTCAAAGAATACGTACACAGCATCCTGTTTAAACTTTAAAAAAAAATCTACGAATTGCACAGTCTAGGGAAAAAACGAATCTACGAACTATGTACAACTCGCTTTAATAAATTAATATAAAAACAATAAATTTCAAAGAATACCATGTACACAGTGTTCTGTTTCAACTTTAAAAAACATCTACGAATTGCGCAATCTAGGCGCTATGCACTAATCAACAAAATAAACTAAAATAAATTTCAAACAATTCAAAAACAACAATAACAACATAAATTCATACCAAAATACAATGAACATAACATTCTACAAAATAAGAATAAGAATAAAATAAAATGCACTTACCATGAATTAATGCTTTTTCGAACAGCAGAAATACAAATTTCACATAGCCTTTAACATGCCGCCATGTAATCACTATCGTATTTATATGACAGCTAGGCACACTATCCAGAAAATTCATACTAAGGTTCGCAAATAAATAAAATCACAAATTCCTACTTCTATCATGCACAGCCACTAAAAATAATCTCCCAGACCTCCAAATACCCACTGCCCCTCAACAGGATGGCCACGATATTTCCTTTTGCCGAACTTCAATTCAACAACTTCCACCATTTTATCTTTCCCCCCTAGCTTCTCAGACACAGAGCATGACACGAACCAATGAACTCAAGCAAAAGATTTTTCAGCGTCAACAGGGTTGCCATACAGCACGCAATCGCACCGAAAACCAGCACAGAACACATATCGCCACATTTGGCGAAAATAGGGCGTATATCAGAGTTGTACCAATAAAAATATTTATAGTTACCAATTGATAAAGCTAAGTCTTTACTGTTACATAAAATTAAAATTTAATTCAAAAATCAGATTTTAAAAGCTATCTGCTTCGGCCTTTATTTTGATGGTAATATGCAAAAAACTATCATGATAGTGAAAAAAAAACTTAATTTAATTAGAATAAGAAATTTTTGAATTCAGAGTTCTCATTCGTTCAAGAAATCGTGGAAAGTTGAGAACTGAAATAGAGAAAATTAAAATTTTGCTCTAAAAGTCGCATAAGATCAAAACTTTTTCTAGCTAGTGAAAAGCAAGACAAATTTTTATCTTAAATAATGTAAAAGTTCATGCGTTGACCGGTAATCAATAAGCAAAAAGAGTTTTCTTGAAAAGAAACCAAAAAAAGTTAATATAATTTTTGTTTTTTTTGTGCAAAAAGTTTTTTACCCACCTTGTACTTCACAAGTTTATTTACCATGAATGCAAATTTTTCTAAAAATCATTAAAAATGTAAGGGCAGTTTCCAATTTTGATCAATATATTTTGGCGAGATATACAAGTACCTTTTAAAGCCCAAAATAACATTTAAATTGTATATTTTGGACTTTCTTAAGTTCAGGGAGTGGCCACACTTCAGACCTTGGTCTTAACATACATGTATGTAAAGATTGACTGAAAGATTAACTTATTTAAGTTATTTATAATTTTTCTTACTTTATTGCATATACATATTAAAATGTCTTCATAGTGCCTCAAAAATCAATTTGCATCTTTATAAATGATTGCTAATTACTGAAATTAAGACATCAGATTTTTAATAGCATAATTATAATATAGTCTTAATGCCTTATGAAGACATAAGATTAATAGCATAATTATAGTATAATCTTGCATGCCTTATGACCAGCAGTCTTTGAAGTATGTATGGAAATTGTTTGTATGGACTAGTTAAAACTAGAATTATTCAGAATATAAATTAAGAAATTGCTTAGCATCGTTCTGTGCTTTTCTGTATCTTAGTATCATAATTTTATATGGCATTCTTCCAGAATTAGCACAGAAATGCTTCTGTAATTAATGAAAAACACAAACAATGTGGTATGGCCAGCTCATCTAACGTTTCCATTGATGAAAGTGATGCTGATACTACAAACAGTAGCATAGTTCCAGAACAGAATGGTTTTAACAATTCTGAAATTGCTGTTGACAGATATGGATTTATTGGTAGCAAAGGTGCAAATTAGTAAGTTTGCTACTCATATATTAACACCTTTTATGATAATCAAATGTAGAATAAAATGTTTTTCTATATGACTTTTTTTCTTCTTTCTTTGTGTTAAAATTAGACATCAGTATTGATTGTGTCATACATTAAGTTGTAATAAGTCAGCGTAATAGAAATTTTGAGCTGAAATTTAATTATAAGATATTATTACTTTCTGTTTGCCTAGATGTTTATTTTGACAAACAATTTTTTGTTTATTTGAAAAGTGCAATTCATATCAACTTTCTCTTGAAAATAATCAAAGGGCTATTTTTATGTTTTTATCTATCATATTTATAAAAATATAACTCCTCTTTAAAATATATGTTTTCAAACTGTACTTATCTTATGTATGAACTATCATTTGCAAAATATATTAAAATGTTTTATGTATTCTGTAACATTTATATTAAAAAAATATCTACTTTGGTCTACCACATTTTCTGTTATTTAGACCATTAGGTTATTATTATTATTATTATTATTATTATTATTATTATTTGTAGAGCATCTTTATCATATTAAGGTTTATATATGCGAGATCATCATATGTATGATAAACTACCTTTACATGTTTTTGAATTAAGAATATGATGAAAAATGAGGTCAAAAATGAAGAAAAACTTTTTTTTAATGCATCGATTAATGGGAAGCGATATTTTAATTGTGAAAGAGTATGTAAGTTTTGGGGGCAGTTTTGTAGAATATGTCAGCTACTTGTGAAGAACTGCATGATTGGCGGTGGGAAGTGAAAAAACATTCAGTCTAACAACAAATATTACTCAAGTGTATTAGCGAAGTCATCGTAGGCAGAATTATAGAATTTTAAGAATGTACCAAACTCTGATAACCATATGCATAGCAGTTCTTAAGTTTTAATAAGCAGTGTCGTTTTCAGTACATCCTTTGTATTGTATTCCAGTTCATATGGCTTAAAATATGTATTTATGGGATTTTCCTGCAATAGAAGAAAGCATGGTAAATTTTCTATTTGAATTCATTATTTTGGCACAGAATCACTAAAGGCAATATTTATTTTCAGTTTATTTTTAAAGCAATCGCCATAAACTCAAATTTAAATATAATTTTGCAAAATTTCCACCAGAACAAAAGAAGCAAAAACTTGCTGTCAAATTAGTTTGAATCAATATCTAATTAAAATATGTAAATTTTTTTTTTTGCAATTTATAAGTTTTGTCTATGAAAAACTACATCAAGATGGTTGCATCAGTATATAAATACCAAGTGAATATACAGTTGTATTTCAAGCTTAGTCAGAGTCGGTGACAAATCTCAACTTTTGATATAGGTCAGGCAGACCTAGGAACTAATGATGCAATGATCTGAAAAATATAGATAATAATGGGCTAGTAAAAGGTAATTTTCATTTTTTCTATCCTAATCTTTCAATCGTTCTCTGTCTAATCCCAGTTGATTCATCTAGATGCTATAATCTGCAAGTCTTCATGTATATTCATTGGCATCTGAATTTTGGTAACTTTGTGATGTATTGGTCGAAACCGCTATGCAAACCCTGGGTTACGACACAGGGTTGAAATGAACTTCTAACTCAAGTTTTAACAGTAACATGAATTTTAATAATAACGAAAACCTTAACAGTTGCATATCTTGACAATATGGGACTTGAGTATATTTTGTCCCATAATTTCAGAATTTTGTTACAGGAAAAATGCTCTAATGTATTATACACGAGCAATGATTGTTCTTAGCTGGCCAACATGCCCATAGCTCTAAAGAGGAAAGATTATCCCCTCTTCTCAGGAAACCACCTTATATATCTCCTGTTTACTTGCACTGAACTCCCAGGGAGAAAGATTCTTTCACTCATACATAACAAAGTGTCCATCTTCTGACCCTGATGAAAAGACTTCTTTTATCTCTTTGTCCCCTGGAGTAACCTTTTAGGCTGCAACTGGAATCATTAACAAAGGCACAGGATTTCACCACTGATTAAAATTTTTACACTCTGAAATCACTCATCCTAGACAAAGAACCTTTATGCCACCATATCACAATGTTATTCCCATTTATTTCAATTATGTAATTGTGATAAATTTAAAGTTTTAAGTGTTATTTGTTATGACTTACTTTTTCTTTATTTTTCTTTATTTATTTGACATTAAAACATTCAAATCAGGCAATTTGCATTTAAAATTAATAATGATGATTATATCACTTTATACCATAGCAGTTTTCAAAATGTTTTATGGATATGCTGATTTTTTACTATTTTATTAAGCAGGAGAAACTTGCATATGTGCATACTTATTTATATATTGGGCATACAAATATATATTTAGTGTGTAAAAGTATTATTAATTATTTACTTTTTAGAATAGAGAGACACTAAAATAAATATGCATTTCTGAAAGATTTATTTTAAAGATCTAATACTGAATCATATTGAGTATATATATGTGTTGTAATTTATGCATTATTTTATTTAACTGAAATTGATACAAAATTTATAAATTTTTTAATTATTATCCAATCGTTTTCAGTTAGTAGATTTTGATAATTTGTTAAATTGATTTTCCAGGTATTATGAGGTGATCATAACTCTATGAGAAATTCCTAAAGTTGAAGAACCAATAATTCCCATCTTGTGCAAATTTTACTAATAAATTTTGCAAGAAATAATGAAACAGCATTGAGTTATAGTCTGCATCTACTTTTCTTCAAAACCTGGAGCATTTATGTATTAGACAAGAGGTATTCAAACTGTTGGGTCATGAAAATTTATATTGGAGTCGCAAGGTGGATAAAGACTAAAAAATTGGAATTCATAGTATACATAACTAAGGGTCGATGATATGATTGAGACTGCAAAATTGTGTTTTGGTTTATATTTTTATGGGGTTGCCCTGCCATGAATTTGAATGCCATTGCATTAGACCGTAAACTTGAAAATGCCTTTTTCATACAAATTTGGCTGTAACCATTTGTAAACAATATTCTGGATTGTTGCATATTGAGCATGCTATTGTCTTTGAAAGAATTTCCTCATTCATCCAAATGAATTTAAGAAGCTTAATCTGCTCTGCTATTTGATTTCTTGGATTCAGGTCAAAGATACTATTGTGTATTTCAAAATGTAGTAGCATAACGATTATCTAAGAAAAGTGCCTGGACTAAGGGAAGAACATTTTCATTTTGTACCAATACATTTTTCCTTTGGGCATAAAATGTTGCAATCAGATTTCATCTTCCTTGACAGTTTTTTTTTTTTTTTTCTTTTAACTGTTTGAACCACTGGCAATGAAGTAAATTCTTGTTTAAACTTGCTCATACGCTCAGCTAATTATCTTGCTGAAGCTAGAGTCAGTAATAGTCATTGTCTAGTACTAGATTTATTACACTAAGAATAATCATTACTCTTTGTTATCTGAACCGGATTCAGAAATGTATGTATGTATGCACGTTTGTGTATGCATGTGCATGCACACTCATACATATATGCATATGCATACATGAACACATACCAGGTATACAAGTATGAAATGTGGATATTTTTCCTAAAAAATTGTTAGATTTGGAAGAAGGATAACGTGCTTTATTTAAAGTATGCTTCATTGCTTGTTATGCATTTTTTCCATCTTTCGGGCAATTTGCAAATACCATGCCAATAAAAATCTCCCACTTTTGCTACAAACCATTTATCAAGCCATTTTTGTGTGAATGAAAGCGTTGCTCAGCAACTGCATGACCCATTGATGTAAACAAGTGATAATTGAAAAGAGCCAAATCTGATGAGTAAGCTCAGTGGTGTAGAACTTCCCAGCTGAGTGCTTCCAATGTGTCATGAACCGATTTTGCGGTATGTGATGGAGCATTGAAGAAAAATGACATTGTGTTGCCTCTTTCGGTATTATGGCCTTTTTTTCAAGCTGTGAACAGTTAAAATCACTCAATCGTTGTTGGTAACATTTAATATTAACCATTTCTCCATTTAACAGCTCATAGTAGACCATATCCCACTGGTTCCACCAAATGCAGAGCATCTTCTTTCTGCCAAAGCAGTGTGATCTTGCGGTCAATGGGAATAGTGCACTTGAGTTACTCATGAGTTTTTGCACATGGGATCCTCAAAATAAATTAACTTTTCATCTCCTGTAAATATACAATGCAAAAACGACTTAGTACCGAGTGAGCAAAATGTCACAAAATGGTTTTGTGCTTTTCCGTTTGCCTGTCATTCAACTGATGTGGTACCCATCTCCTGGTCTTTGGAATCTTTCCCATCTCTTGCAACCAATTGGAAACAGCTTGTTAACTAATGCCCAATTGCTTGTTGAGATTTTTTTTTTTTTTTTTTTTTGCGTGTGTGTGTTTGTGTGAGTTTGCGAATCATTCTTCATCCAATAATGCTTGCAGGTCCACATCTTTGTATTTTTTGGCGATTTTCAGCATTCCTTTCCTACAACAAAGTCACCACATTTGAAAAACCAAAACCATTGTTCACATGTGTCTTGTAATGGAACTTATTCACCATAAGTTTCTTGAAGTAATTGGTATGATTTAGCAGCAGTTTTCTTCAAATGAAAACAAAAAATTAATGCTGTCCGCCAATACTCTTTGTTCAGTATAAATTTCGATGTATTGAACACAACTCTGTGCACACACTTTTCTAGTCTATCATTTGTGCATGTCTGACACTTGGTGATGACACAACAAAATTGCATTTCGTACTTGTACAGCTGGTATATCCATTCATCCATACATTTGTAAATCCAGTTCTGATAACTGAAGAGAACCCAGTAATACAAATAGGCATTCATAACATGCTGCTTGCTGTTGCCTTTTACTTATTAGATAAAGATACAGTCTTACCTCATATTTTAAAGCAACCTCATAAGCAAATTATGAACCTTTATTAATAATAATAGAATGCTAAACCTAAGAATCATTTACTGTTTCTTTGAATCTGAGATGTGCTTTTTCATATCAGGTCAAAAAAGGGGTTTCACTTAATAATGTAAGTTTTCAAATTTTCACTCATTTTGGCCTCTTGTTTTCAAATTTTCACTCATTTTGGCTTGATACCTAACAATGTGTTTTTACTCATTTTTTTTCCTGTAAAAAAATTTGTAATGTCGGTGGTTCAAGGGGGGTACGTAATAGAATAATGAAAATGGAGATGGCTTCTAAAATTCTGAATATCAAATTAGCTGTTAAAATGATCACTAGTATTATTACTGAATCAAAATCCTTTAAAATTATATTTTTTAGCTATAATATTTTATTTCATTTAATTGTACTTTATAGTATGTCTTTTTTTTTTTTTTTTTTTTTTCTTCCTTCCTGTTGATAGCATTGCAATCATTTTCTTATAGTTGATGGCATCTTAGAATCAAAGAAGTATGATATTTAATATTATTTTATAAAGAAATGTCTATTAATACTATCTTAGCATTTGTAGTAATTCTGTTAAAAAGGAAATTGAAACTTTAAAACATTAGGGAATCAAATTTTTAAGACAAGTGACTCTGCTTTCTTGTAAAAGTATTAATTTTCCTTTGTAACAGCTTTCTTATGCATGCATCAAAAGAATGTTCTGGTATTATGTAATAAATTTATATTGTATCTTAATAATTTCACTATTAATATAAACAATACATCTGTTTTATCTTGGGATGGTTTATTGAATTTACCAGTTAGTTTTCAACATTCTGTATTGAAAATTTTTTAAAACTTAATATTTTTTTAATATTTTTTATTTATTTTAGTTCCACTGTCATACCAGTAGATGTTTTGAGACAACGAGAATTAAAATGGCTCGAAATGTTAGAAAACTGGGATCTGTTTATGACCAAAAAGTATAAAAAAGTAAGTTTATTTTTAAATTTCCGTAAAATACTTGAATTCCAAAATTTCTTGTAAACTTTTAAAAGTCCCTAACATTTTTTTAATTTACTAAATTAAAGAATTCTTAAGAAATTTTTTGCCTTCTATTTTGTTTAGATATATTTAAAAAGTAAGTTTTTTTGCTTATTAGTTTTACTTTCTTTCTATGATTCAATAAACTGAAAAACTTCTCTGAAATGTAACAAATTTGTTCAAAATGACTTTAAAATGGGTGAATCAAAAATATCTCTTTCTAACAAAATATCATAGACTTTCAAAAATGAGGGAAAATTGAGATTATTTTACATTCCCAGTATATATGTTTTTGGAAGTTCTGAAGCATGTGAATAATTTGGGAAAAAAATTTTACTACTTATAAATTATATAATCAAAATGACTTATACAAGTCATTGTATTGACTAATCAAGTTTCTGAAATTATTACACATAAAAGAACTAAAAATAAATATCACAATGACAGGAATACCATGAAACTTCATGAATTGAAATATACAATATGCATAAAAAATTATGTCACTAAATCTACTGTAAATCATAGAAAATGAACTTGAGAAACAGTTTCATTAGAAAATAATGAAAAAAGAAAAGAAAAAAGGAAAACAAGCAATATATACAGCAGGTAACATTACTTACTTTTGTTAACTAAAAATCTAATCACATTATCTGAATAAGCTCATGATGCATTTCTGTTTTAATTGCCATTATTTCCTTTCCATTTCATCTTATAATTGATATGATTATTGCCTTTTAATATAATTATGTGTCATGCCATTTTGTTAATTACTTCTTTTGCAAAAGGAACAAACAGCATAATTAACAGTTAATGTATGCTTTTTTCTAATGGCATTTTTCTTCTATTTTCTAGGTTAGAGAGAGATGTAGGAAAGGTATACCTCCAGCATTACGAGCCAGAGCTTGGCAGTATCTGTGTGGGGCAAAATTTTATATGGATAGTTGCAGGCACAAGTTTACAGTTAGTTTATATAATATTACTTTTATGCTAATATCTATATATTATTAACATTTCTTACATTGTAAGCTTCTAAATTGTTAGTAGCCCATAAGGGACATTAGTCCCGAATAGGATATTAGTCTTGAAACAGCAGTTTGCATCAAAAGACTTAAATGCATTGTATCACTTTTCAAATTGTTACCACCAAATATTATCGCCGTGTATTATATTTAAAGACATTCAATAATGAAAAATCTGCATGAATGTATGCATGTTTCTCACACTGTGAAGGAGCAACTGTACCTAGAGCTATCAAATTCTGAATAACATAGTCTTCCATTTGAACATGAGCACGTGGAAGCCCGAATTTTGAATTTCAAATTTGTTTATTATCTATTTGATATTTTAAAAAACTTTAACAAATTTTTTATTAACAAACTCAACGATTTCAAAGTGAGTGTATTGGGAAAAAAAAAAAAAAAATTATCTCTAATGTGCGAGACTCTCTATCAGATATTATAAAGATATTCTGCTTTTAAATATTTTGTGATTTTGCTATTAAATCAAAGTTAACGTGGTGAAAGCACCATGAACATGATATTTAATAAAGAAACATGCAATAAGTTAATAATAGAAAGATAAAGTTTTGTAAAACATGCAATAAGTTAATAATAGAAAGATAAAGTTTTGTAAAGCCATCTTAGTACGAAAACTGAACATTGATATGATAAAATGAGAAAAGACAAAAAAACAGAAAAATATATGCCAACACTTAATGGTGCATCAGGAATTCTAATTGTGTACTGCTGTGCTGTTTTTAAAATTTTTGCTGTTGAATTGCATATGGTGTAAGTGCAAAGGAAATTATGCTTAACAATAAAACTAAAAAGAAGAAAAAAGTGGGGGTTGGTAGGAATGTAAGAGATTATTTTGATTTCAAATGTAAGTTGATTGTTTTAAATATAAATTATTTTAAACGTTAATTACTTACATAATATAAGTATGAATATAAAATAATTTTCTATGGTCAACTATTCATAAGCTGTGCAAAAATACTACATAACATGGATCATCATCATTTATTCACTTTCATCATCATCTTGCATTCATTCTTCCTTTCAACTTCTTTGTCTTGCTTTCCTTTTTGCTGACATATAGTTGAGCTTAAAAGAAAACATTTTGAAATCTGTTTGGTGTACCACACTGTGATGCTACTGTTATAGTTGAAGCATGTATATTCTAACAGGTTTATTGTTTGTTTAATGTAATATTAGCCCCCTCTTCAAAAAAAAAAAAAAAAAAATAGACACAATGAGGAAACTCCAGTATCCCATATTAAGTGCAGAATATCTCTCCCAGAGAAAATTTAATGCTTTTGGAGTTGGATAAGTATTTTCCTGTACTTTGAAAAATAATTAATATGTTTGTCCCAGATGTCTGGCAATGATTTCAAGCATAAGGAAATATGTTTCAGCAGCTTCAACAAAAGAAAACACTTTCAAACTCAAGCCAGTGTGAATTCTACAGTCAACAAGTGGTAATATTCATATGGATATATCCTGATGTTCTAATAGGTGTTTCATGGATAAGTTTGCTCATTAAAATATTATTCTTGCTAATTAGCTTTTATAAGCAAAATATGCTCAGAAAGAAAAGTAACTTCTGATAGATTAATGTGTAATTACTGAAATTATTTGTAGTATATTTTGGAGTGAAAGAAATGTGTGCAATAATTTGACAAAATAAAAAACAGGCACAAAGAAATACACTTGATGAAATATATAGTTGGAAACTAGTTGGAAAGTTATTAAGAGTTATAAAAAAGAAACCATGCAAATTTTGTTCTTTATATGTTGTGTTTCCTTTCAAAAATCCTTTTTCTTTGCATTTTCCAATGATAGGAACTTGATGGTGCAGCAGGTGATCCAAGATGTGTTGAAGATATAAAGAAAGATCTTCACCGTCAGTTTCCTTCTCATGAAATTTTTGTGAAATCTCAAGGCCATGGGTATGAAATTATTACAAACTGTATTTTAATGTTTTTTGAATTAAATAGCAAAATTAATATATGTATATAATGAAAATTATTATCCCCCTTCTATAATAGTTAATACAGTATAAAGTCTGAAATCCGGACTTCCATTATGTGGAATGATCTAAAATCCAGACCTCAAAGCCAGCAACAATGTTTTAGTCGTAGGCTTTATGCATGCACATTTGATTCCCTCCTCCATGCATAATAAAACATCTAGAGAGTCCCGATTCTTAATTTCTCTTCGAAACTAAATAAAATACCTTATTATTGAAGAAATAATCATTTTAACATAAATTTGCATGATAAGTAATTTGGCTCTGTTGCTGCATATCTGCTTGGCAAACATCTCAAGCCGAAACATTGTACATAGATACATATTTGGTCTGGCAAATCATTATTTATTTATTATACTTTCTTTTCATTACCGCTTGTTTATCAACACATGACAACTTGAGTAGTGACTCGTGTAGCAATGCCCAAACAATTTTTTTATGTTAGTAATTGAATAATAAAGGAGTATGGTAACCTTTTATGTTGACGTTATGCTTGGTGCAGATTACAGATTTAAGTTAAATGCGCTAAAAATTGTTGACGAGGAAAAATTTACCAAAAATGTTTTCCCATATGCTAAAAATAGTTTTTGTTGATGATGTGCATAGATTCAAAGATTACATTTAGGGCTATTTGAATTAAGAATAACTGATTTGTTATTCACATAAACCCAGAATCAGCGCCAGGGCTCATATGGCCACACCGAGTCGCAGAATTTAAAACTCACAGAGACTGGATCAGTCTGTAAGATATCAAGCGCCAGCCCTCAATAAGGCTCAAGTATATGTGGAAATTTATTTATTCAGAACTCCGATAAGCCTTAAGCATGTGCAAGAAATAGACATAAGTATAATAAATAACTAAACTAATACAATTCAGGCTTAATTGTCTCAATGCGTGATGCAAGATAAAATTTAACGAAACAACTTTTCATTAGTCGCCAAGCTCATGATGCATAGCCAAATATGTATAGTGAAGGATAGCTAAATTTTAATCATGATAGCCGCTAATTTTAAAGGTTTTCTGATATTGCAAAACAATCATGAAATTTTCAATTCACGGATTTTGTAAAGAAATGTGGAGAAGCATAAATGAAGATGATATAAAAGAAGGTTTTCATTATGATGACAATGCTTCTCAATCATCAATCAGTTAATAAATGGCGAAATCTGTAGTATGGTTCTAGATTCAGAAAATACCGCTATGCTGTATGATGTTGTATTTACGGTGTCAAAATGTTCACTAGCATGTATGTCCAACTTATAAGTACAACCAGAAACAGTACATAATTTAAAAATTTTGATGCCATATTTATGTCTCTTGTGTTTGTTGAATTGCCTGAATATTACTCTTTCTCGAAAGGGTATTGTTCTCATCTATACAAACAGACTTATTGGAAGCATAATACTTCTCAAAATTTGAATTTAGTGTATTCATTATTGTTCTTGTCTTATTTAGGTGATCACATTTATTGTCCTCCTTATTATTTGCAAAATGAAAAATTTGTCATAAAACTTCAAATCTATTTTAACTCATTTTACTTTTAGCAAATTGTTGACCAAACATCAGGTCTCTTAACCCGATAATCACTCACTTTAGGTAATTTTAAATAACCCTTATATAAAATTAGGCCAAAAAAGTTGTGTTATCTGCTTTTAATTTGTAGGTTTTACTCTTGTAGCCAAGAATATCTTCTAAATGTGTTATTTTCAAGAAGTTCTTCAGCATATAAACTTATTTGACAAGAAATACTTTCAAAAGATTTTATATAAAAAAAATGCATAAAAGTCTTCAGGTCTTGAATCACACATAGATTGTCGCAAACTGTAAAGTTTCATATTTCATCAGCAGAGTGAAAATTCATCATTTTCAGTCTCAGAAAAATACTTTGTTTCCTGGTAACTGTATGTATCTCTGAGTCATTGCTGCCAGTAGATAATCTCTATTTTCTCATGTATTCCGATTTGATTTTCTTTAATTGGGAAGTAAAGCTTTTAATCAGACACTTAATTATCAAATTATATTTTGGGAGCTCTACCTGTGTTGTGGAAAGTAGTTTATGCACCGCAAGACAAGGTTATGTTGTGCAGTGCATATTTACGTGTAACTGATAATGTACAATAACTGTCAAGAAACCAAAATTAAGATTATACTCATGGCTAGCAAACTCATATATTCGGCACATACAGTAAAACTATTCCATTAACATAGTGATGGGCACTGATGACAGTGCATCAAAAAATGCCAAACTTTGTTAAAAAATGCATCTATAAAATACTAACTATGTCCATCTATGCTCACAGAATAATTCTGAAACCTAATAGCTATTTTTCAACCAATTTATGTAAAAGTCTGTGGTGATCAATGTTTTAAAAGCAGCGCAGTTGTGCGATTAACTGTTTCAGTAGTTGGGTACTATCACTGTAAATAACACCACCCATAACTCTGTTTTCTTATTAGCATTTTAGTAGCTCTAGCTGTTCTGAATTCTTCTAGAAGAATGTAATTTTTTGTTTGTTTTCTTTGTGTTTTGGAGGAAAACTGAAGAAGAGTAGGAATGATTTAAAAAAAAAAAAAAAAAATTGAATATCAACTTCAGATAAATTACAGCTAGGCCTCTTAACTTTTTTCTTGGGTCAACCAGTTTTAAAAGAAAGTTTTCTTTATCGACCCTCATACATTTTTCTACACCTTACAACACAATCATAAAACAAATAATTACACATAAATAATTCTGAAATAACAATTTGAGTAAGAGTGAACAAAATTTGAAAAAAAACTTGGTTTATTAAATTTGTCTTATTATTTTTAATTTTACAAATGTAAGGAAGTTTTCAGAACAAAATCATAGTCATAATCATAATCATTGCACAAAAGTTCAATTTTAATTATGTGGTGGCTGTGCTTGACGTATTGATACAATTTTTTAAGCATTTGGCGTAAAATTGCTGTTAATTCTTGAACTGCATCATTCAAAATTATATAATCTGTTTCTCATTTTCTATAGTATATTATTCCTTTTTCAAAGCAATCAACTCTTTTTGCATGAAAATATCAAGATCAAATATATCATCGTTCAGCAGTTGAGGCACGATGGCGCATTGAAATTTTCAATGTCTTGGAAGTGAATATTAAAATCTTTTAAATTTTGCAACTGGCTTGTGTATAACAATATATTTTCTGAGGAAGTTTTACTGTCTTCTTATTTTTGTCATTGTGTTTCTTTGTGTTCCTGCATTTTTGCTTCTTATATTGTGCTTTGTACACAAAAAGAATTTATATATTTTTAAAAAATATATTGAATACATTTTGTGTGTTTTTTTCCTGTATATTTATTTTACATGATTTCTTCCTTAGTACATAGCATAGCTTTATATCAATAACAATTCTCAATTTTTAAAGTATTAATAATGCTGTTGTAATCAGTGGGATCTGTATTATGCTGATCAGTTGCTTTTGCATATTCAGCTATCAACCTGTAATTGAGCCTTTGACTATCTTTCACCCCATTTAAAATTTCGATAATTCCAAGAGGGAAATACGAACCCTGTTGGGAACCCCTGAATTAAAGCAAATGCATATTTACTTTACCTCATTTTTACTTCATTGTATAATGTGATGGAGGTATTGTAATGATGAAAAATTCCAGATATCATATTTCAACAGAAATATCCATTTTAATTGTTCCTGAATCCATTTGATTTTTTTTTTTTTTTTTTTTTTTTTTTTTTAAGAATGATGACTATACTTACAGACAGAATAAAGGTCTGTTCTTCCAAAATGGATTGTAACATGGACTTAAGTTGATTCAAAAGGAATATTTTTGTGTTGCCTGTACATATGTGTGTATATATCTGGCAAAATTCAAAAAGGATTTGCTGTAGAAAGTTGCCATTTTGTATGTGGGACTGCTATAATATCTAGTTGTGCACCTCCCTTTGTTATTACAGTCGATGGAACACACTCACCCCCTTACCTAGCCTTTATTTTTCAGCTGTAATTATATACTCTTAGTTACAGAAGTATAATAAATGATGAAAATATTCATGTTTTGGGAATGTCAGATGTTTTGGCTGATAACGAAATCTAACTTTTAATGTGGTCTCCAGTTTCTATACTTATGTTTGGGAAAGTTTGATACTTGTCATGAAAAAATAAAATTACAGGAAGTTTGACTCCCACACAACAAAAAATGACCAGACTATTTAATTTCTAAATTTGCAGTTTATGTCATTTTCAACTTGCTTTGTGGGATTGGTTAATTAAGTTAGAATAATTCAAGGCTATAAGTTTAAATGAAGTGCAGCAAAAAATGTGTATAATTTAACATGCAGTACAAGGAAGTCATATGGTATCCACATCAGATTTTTTTATAGTCATTTTTGCACAGAAAGTTCTTTAGACATTACTTGTTTCTCATTAAATTTTAATGCATTCTACATCATGTGTTTACTATATTATCAGCAAATTTCAGCTATTAGCTAAGGATTGATGTTTCATTGGCTATATATATTAAAAAAAAAAAAAAAAAAAGCTAAATATTAGTTTTATAGCTAACTAAAACTAATATTTAGCTCTCTAGCTCAGTATTAGTTTTATTTATAATTTCTGTCCATTTTGTAATTTTTAATTTCTGTCCAAAAGTAATATTTGTTGACATAATAATATTCTGTGTAGTAATTTTTAAACAGTGTAGTAATGTAACAGTTTAAAATATAAACTGTATTGTACTAAAAATACAAAGACTAATGGGGTTGAATTTTATGAAGATACTACAATATACTGTATTTGGTGCCATCTCCCATTGTAATATCTGTTTTTATAATAATTTTTGCACAGAAAGTTCTTTAGACATTACTTGTTTCTCATTAAATTTTAATGCATTCTACATCATGTGTTTACTATATTATCAGTGAATTACAGCTATTAGCTAAGGATTAATGTTTCATCGGCTATATATATGGGAAAAAAAAAAAAAGCTTAGTTTTATAGCTAACTAAAACTATATTTAGCTCTCTAGCTCAGTATTAGTTTTTATAGCTAACTAAAACTAATATTTAGCTCTCTAGGTCAGTATTAGTTTTATTTATAATTTCTGTCCATTATCATACCACTAAAAGTAATATTTGTTGACATAATAATATTCTGTGTAGTAATTTTTAAACAGTGTAGTAATGTAACAGTTTAAAATATAGACTGAATTGTACTAAAAATACAAAGACTAATGGAGTTGAATTTTATGCAGATACTACAATATACTGTGTTTGGTGCCATCTCCCATTGTAATATCTGTTATTTTAAGCACTTAAAGAATTGGTTATGTGTAAAAAAATTTTGGTACTTCTAATATTGAAACATATCTAATATTATTGTTGAGTGTTTTCTCTTATGTACTGTAGGCAAGCTGATCTGTTTAGGATATTAAAAGCGTATTCACTCTTCAATCCATCTGTTGGGTACTGCCAAGCTCAAGCACCAATAGCTGCTGCATTATTGATGCACATGCCTGCAGAACAAGCTTTCTGGTGCCTTGTGGCTATCTGTGAAAAGTATTTACCCGGTTATTATAGTCCTGGTTTGGTAAGTATGTATTTTTTAGCATATAAATCTCTCAATTTTTTCTCTTAACTGAGAGTGTTTTGAATTATGCATCAAAATTGCAAACCTAGTATGGTCTTTTTTCCATATCCTTTGATTTAATATTAATAATTTGCCCAAATTCATAATTTTTTATGATTAAGTATTGTATTTCCTCATGCATTTTCTATCTTTTTTACTAATTTTATCATCTAAAAATTGACGGGAAAATTACGTGAATAATTTAATTTGCAAAAAATGCAGTTACAAAAAGAAGATAACAAATAAAAAATAGTCATACAAATAGAACTGCCCCCCCTTTTTTTTCACAGTGTACATTACATATAGAAATATCACGAAACCTCCTGCAGCTAATCCCTTTAATTCCGTATGCAACGAAGCTGAACCAGTGAAGTATTTTGAAAATTTAATGGCTCACTTACTGACAAGTCTGCAAGAATAAAAGAGAAAGTGCACTATAAATAATCAAATGTAGCAGAGTGCCCTTTTTGTTAATTTATGAAATGGTCATAATAATTCTGAGTAATTTATCAAAAATTTTATTTATGTTTATTACAAAATGCAATTTTATATATTAGAGAAACAGCATGTATGTCAGTTACTATATATATTACAACAGTATAATTTATTATTAATATGACAAAAAGTTCCACCTCTGTTTATTCCTAGTCATTAGCTCAGAGTGCTAGAAGGTGTTTATGGCAGAAATCCTCATTGTAGTGAGTGGCAACAATCATCTTTGCTGCACAATATCAGTATGTGCTTGCTATAGCACAAGGATAAAAACTTGAACTTTTTTCTCCAAGACTTAATACTTACCTTTCTTCGTATGTTTGTGGACAGTGTCTGACATTGGCTCATGTTTTGTTAATGTTTAAATATTTAGTCTCTTGCAAGATATGCTTTTCTTTTTTTTTAATATTAAATAAATTTGGTTTTAACTGTTACCTGAAGTTTGTGATTCTTAGACCTTTCTAATCACCTTCTGATGGAGTCTAATGGCAATAAAACATCACCATATCTGGTGACTTAAAGTAAGAATTGCACTGGTGCACCATATGTTGTAGCTATACCTGCTTTAAAAATTGGTTGTGATTTCACACATGTATTTTTTATGAAGATGCTTCTCCAATTATAAAATCTTGTGTTCCAGAACTTATCGTACATCTTATTCCACATAGTCCTAATTTTATTGAAGGAGGAATGACAAATGAAGTATGCTGCAGTTTTATATGTGGCTGGAGGAAGTTTTTGTGCAACCTGGATTGATTTTGTGATTTAACAGCAGTATTGTGTCAGTATGAATGATTTTCAAGAATATTAGTATACTTTTACAAGGTGAATATTTTGTTAATATTCATGTATTTTCCATTCTCGTGTGTATCCCTAATGGTTATAGATGTATAATAGGTCTTCTAACCTTTTATACCTTGCTTCAGTTTTGAAGTATTTGAAATTAGAATCATAAATCTTTTCTGAATTTAATAGTCATTGTGGTATAGTGAAAATTCTAGTGATGATTTTCCTACCAGAAATAATGCAGCTGTGATGGTATCACATGTTTCAGTGAAATTACCTCCATTTTGGAAAACCCCTGCATTGCGGTTTGTTAGATTAATATTGCAAATTTAAATTTCCATTATAACTTCAGATTTAACAAAATTTCACCATGTTGTTGCTGCCGTGGATTCTGATATACTAGTTCTAATAGCGGCATCATTTTAAAACCTCCCAACACTTAAAAATATGATATCCTGAAACAAAGATTGATTGCAATACGTTCTGAAAGTAAAGCATCAAAAATTTGTATTCGATTGCCCTTGCAATAGAATTTTCTTGTTTGTTTGGCCTTTTGTGCCAAAGAATTGTGTTACCTGGACAGAGTTTTCTTGTTTTGTTTGGCCTTTTGTGTCAACCAGTCAACATTTTGCACATATTGCATTTGGATATAGTTGCAGCCTGCCACCTTCAGAAGAGTTCCTATCACCATAACTACTGATCAGTGCTGATGATTAGAGTCATGCATGTTCTTAACCCCTTAACTGCTGCGGAAAACGTGCAAGATTCATTTCCCAGTGCCATGGTTTCTCACACAGGCACGCATAGTTATGCAATGTATTGGGGGAAAATAAGTGCAAGTTTTACTTTTTAAAAACTGTTTACTTTCACAAATTAAAGAATAAAAGAAAAAATGAATGCACAAAATTTAATGTTTTGAGTAAAAGTATAATTAAAAAGATTTTAATATAATAAAAAGGATGTTTTTATAATATAAAAGATCCCTAAAATGGAGTTTCGATCAATTCATTTTTAGACCAGCAAAGTGTAATATCAGGTTTCAGTGTTATTTCTGGAACCTACTACAAAAAGTAAATGAAAACGGAGGACACAGAATAAAAAAAAATACGTTTTACTCAACCAACACCAGCCAAACCGCACAGTCTTTACTTTCACCGCTTTAGACACACCCGTCTCTCCAATTTCTCCCCACACTTCTCTGAAGTAGCATCATTCTTCGCATACTTTGTCAAGGTCATTGTGGTGTTGCATTCCAAAGTTTTGCGAATAATTTTACAGGTAGCAGCGCAAAGCAAATGATAGTAGTTTGGAAGGGCGTATATATATATACGCCTGGGCAATTAATACATCAGCTGAGCAAGGCATATATATACACCTGCGGCAGTTAAGGGGTTAGTAAACTTCTTGGTGTTCACTAAACTCAGACTACACCATACCACCTTGCAGCGAATGGATTAATTGAGAGATTTCCTCCCCACTTGGTACAACAGACCATAAAAGACATTTGACATAATAATATCCAGTGCACAGTGAGATTTCCAATTGTACTTCCTGGCCTTTGATCAACATACAAAGAAGATCTGTGTGGAACCTGCTCGGAGATGGTTTACAGAATTTATATTCACCTTCCTGAAGAGTTTTTGCAACCCACCCAGGTTTCTAATTCTGTTGACCTGATTTCATTTATACAGAAATTATGTGAGGCAGTGAGAGAGATGTCACCAGTACCCACATCAGCTTGTGTTAAAAATAAGTATTTTGTCTACCCAGCTTTATAGTCATGCACTCACATGTTAATGAGGCACGATGCCCTGAAACTACCACTGACTCCCCAGTATGATGGCCCATTTAAAGTAAAAAAAAAAAAAAAAAAATTGTTTTAGACACTCCAGCATCAATTTCCATTGCTGAGCTAACTCTTATAGTAAATCCATCGGGCATTACAGTTGAAATATATGTGCTGGCCAACCAAAAACCAGCAGTGTATACTACTCATTTTGGCAGAAGGGTCAAGTTTAACCCAAAGTATCTCTGGCCCCTTCTTTCTCCAGCACAAGAAGGGAGGAGTACTGTTGCGGAAATCTTCATTGCAGTGAGTGGCAGCATTCATCTTTGCTGTGCAGTATGCATATGTGCTTGCCATAGTGCAAGGATAATTACTTGAGCTTTTGTTGAGACTTACTACTTACTTCTTACTTTTTTTTGCCTGTTCATGGCTGATATCTGATGTCAGCTTGTGTGTGTGTTAATATTTAAATATTTAGCCCCTTGTGAGATATTGCTTTCCTTTTTTAAAATGTTAAATAAAGTTGGTTTTAACTGTTAGTTGAAGTTTGTGATTCTTAAGCCATTCTAATGATCTTCTGATGGAGTCTAATAGTGATAAAACATTGCTATATACTGAATGTTAGGAATTTGATTCATAGTGCATGTATAACTTGATACCACCAATAAATAAATGGTCTATTACTCATGTATGTAATACAGTACTAAGTCCAAAATCCGAACGTCCAATATCTGGAATGATCTAAAATCCAGACCTCAAAACCACCAACGTTTTTCTTGTAGGCTTTACACTTGCGCATTTGATTCCCCCTCCTCGCATAATAAAACATTTGGAGAGTCCCGATTCTTAATTTCATTTCAACACTAAATAAAATACCTTGTTATTCAAGGAACAATCATTTTAGCATAAATTTGTACGACAGTAATTTAGCACCGTTGCTGCATATCTGCTGGCACATATCTCAAACCGAAACATTCCACATAGATACTTCGTTAATCTGAAGCCAACTTGGCGAATCATTATTATACTTTCCTTTCATCACCGCATGTTTATCAAAACATGACAACTTGAGTAATGACTCCTGTAGTGATGCCTAAACAATTTTTTATGCTAGAAATTAAATAATAAAGGAGTATAGCAACCTTTTAGGGTCCGTGACACTTAGCCGATGGGACACTTAACCAACACCAGTTAGCCTGACAGGACATTTAGCCAACAGGATACTTAGCCAGCGCGGACACTTAGCCGACAAGACATTCAGCCAACAAGGACACTTAGCCGACAGGACATTTAGCCGACATGGACATTTAGTCGACAGGACATTTAGCCAACAAGGACGCTTAGCCGAGAGGACATTTGGCCAACACAGAGCAGTCAGGACATTTAGCCGACACAGAGCAGTCAGGATATTTAGCTACGGAACACTTAACTGTCAAGACATTTAGTCAACAGGACACTAAGCCGACAGTGACGTTTAGCTGACACGTACCCAATAATTATTTAACTTACTATGAATTACAAAATTTCTCGACTTATCCATAAGTTCAATATTTAAGTTATTTTTTCCACCTTTCAGTAAAGTTCATTTTTCGATTCTTAAAGATCTCATATGTGCTTTTAATCATTGGGATAATTTAGCACTGTTTGATATGTATCGTGCTGTCTGGTGTATATTGGCCAAATTGAAAAAGTGCTGCAATTTCTCGTCAGGGAATATGAATTAAATTTTGAAAGGAAAAAATAATTTTTTTAGCTAAATACGGCAGTCATTTAATTACATTTGGGATCTTCAAAAGTTATCCGTAAAGCTTCTTCGTTTAATCAACTGGGTTCCTTTGAACACTTTCACATCATTAATAATTTTTCTTGTTTACTTAATGATATTAATTTTCCAATCTCGCTCTTTCAAATGCTTTCAAATTTTCAATACCTTTATGTTTTGATTACTATTTTTACTCAATATCATGTTTTACATTTTCCCTTACAAAATCATTTCGCTCTTCCTACTAATGAAATTCCCTTTTTTTGTCATGAAAAATCTGAATAATGGAATAAAAAAAAAATTATGTTATTCTTGAAGTATACTTTTTATAGAAGCATATGGTCATGGAGGGTTTAGTTTCAAAATATATATTATTTTGTTATTAGAAACAATTAAAAAAAAGGGAATTTTTAAGACAAGCAAAGGTATAAATTATTGACCTCTATAATGGGCTGTTGATGCCACCATACTTGAGATAAAAATTCTGTTTTATTGACTCTCGCTTGCCTCTCGCTGAAAATATTTACTTAGGTTAATGTTTATAGCACTAAATTGGTGCATTATGTTTAATTTACAAGTAAAATATTCTTTAAGGTTTTATTTAATTCATAACTAAATACATTTCTGCAAAAACTACATTTTTCTCTCTTCGTATATCGAAAACGTTGCTGATATGGAATTCCAGACGTTGGAAAATCTCCGTAGAGAAATTGAAGGAATCTGCAGAAGAAGGGGCACCAAGCAGGGCAGAGCAAAGCGAGATATTCTGAAATGCCACCGTATTGTGGTGCCATCTATCGATGCTAGATTTAATTAGATTAGTCATATAACTAGATAATATTATGTGCTCAGTTTTCCGACTAATCACAATGTGTAATTTTCAATATATGATGTTATATTGTTTCATGTTTTTCTTGTAAAATGTAACTTTCTCAATATCTGTTAAAAATGTATAAATTTTCATTTCACTTTCATTAATTTAATTTTTTTTCCTCTTTCTTTCCTTCTCTTTCTCGTTTTTGTTTTAGCTACATGCAATAGGGAAATTTTTGGTGCCCATTTTCCTGAATGCATTTATAAAGTTCTATCCTAAAAAATCGATTTTCATTGGAAGAGACTGGTTATATATTTAGTAAAACGGTCACTTTATTTCTGTTAGGCCCAACAGCATTTGAGTGGTAAAGTAACTGAACACTGGCAGTTCGGTCCGAATTTCAAATCCCATGAACGGACAGGACGCATGGGTGTTTTCGTGGTTTTCCTTAGAAAGTCCTCCACAAAGGTATCCCTCTCGTTAGGTCTTAGAAAGTCCTCCACGAAAGGCATCCCTCCTCTTAGGCAGATAGCCCTAGTGTGCTTTGCCATAATTAAATACACCACCCTCTCGTTAGGCAAGATAGCCCTCTGGCTTTGCCGTAATTACTTAAACCAAACCTACTTCTGATAGGTGGCCACAGGCCACGAGGTACGAATTCCCATGGCGGAGCTAAAAATAGATTTTGTTCATGATGCTCATAAGCCCAAAGGTTACATTTAGGGATATTTGAATTAAGAATAACTGATTTGTTATTCAATAAACGCAGAACCAGCGCCAGGGCTCGTATGGCCACACCGAGTTGCAGAATTTAAGACACACAGAGACTGCATCAGGCGGTAAGCTAGCACTGGCCCTCAATAAGGCTTAAGTATATGTGGAAATTTATTTATTCATAACTCTGATAAGCCTTAAGCATGTGCAAGAAATAGACATAAATTAATAACTAAACTAATACAATTCAGGCTTAATTGTCTCAATGCATGATGCAAGATAAAATTTAACGGAACAACTTTTCGTTAGTTGCCAAGCTCATGATGCATAGCCAAATATGTATAGTGAAGGATAGCTAAATTTTAATGATGATATCCGCTAATTTTAAAGGTTTTCTGATATTGCAAAACAAAGGTGAAATTTACCAATTAACAGATTTTGTAAAGAAATGTGGAGAAGTGGTAATAAATGAAGATGATATAAAAGAAGTTTTTCATTATGATGACAATGCTTCTCAATCATCAATCAATGAATGAATGGCGAAATCTGTAGTATGGTTCTAGATCCAGAAAATACCTCTACCGATAGTGAAGAAAGTGACAGAGAAGTTACTGAAAATGAGAAATTTTCTATTGGCAAGTTAGTCGGAATTCTCCAAACAACAGTTACAGGACTTTAACATTGTAACTAAACAAGAGATTGTCTGTCTGCAGAATTAAAGAGAAAGTATTAGCACAAAAGACGAAGCAACTTAAAAATTTTACATTGAAAGAAATGTTTAATAAGGAAAACAAATAAATATTAAGCTTCTTTTTGCAAATTTTGATATCCTTTAGATCATAAATACTTCATTATTTCATAAATCACGATTTCATATTTTTAATTTTATAATTTCTATATGTCAAACTGTTGATCTAATATCTGGAAAAATCCCAAATCCAGAATCCCTGAAGCCCCAACAAATCCAGATTTCGAATTTTGTACTGTATTCATTTTCATACCGAGTTTCACATTAACTGTAAAGTATGTTCTGAAACCTATGGGTTGCAGATGCAAAAATATTATTATAAATTAAATGGCTTTCTATTTTTTACTTTCTATGTTTAGTATTTATGTGGATAGTCTTTTCCCAAAGGTAATTTGTTTTAAATTACAGGAAGCTATTCAAATTGATGGTGAAATTTTATTCGGGCTCTTGAAAAAAGTTTGTCCTTCTGTACATAAACATTTGGTAAGAAAGTATTATTTATTGTTTTTAATGTTGAAATTCCATAAAAAATTAGGAATAAGTCAACGCAAAATATATTTCTGCTTTATTAAAAAGTAAAAATCTAGAATAATCAGAATTCTTATTTTTTTTTAATAATTATTTCTTCAGATAGTTTGCTTAGTGTAAAATAATATTATATGCATTGTTATTGTACCTCTGTTTACATACTAATGTAAATTTTAACTGAAAGAACAAACTCTTTAGCTCAAAGCCCTTTCTGTGTTGTTAATAAACTTTGAAATCATATAATAGTGACTTGGGATAAATATGCATTTAAGATTCTTAGAGTTTAGTCAAATGTTAATATTTAAACAATAAATTTTTAATTGAGAGTGGAATTTAGTTATTCAAAATGATGCTTTTTATATTATTTACAAATTTTATCTTACTTTATTAAAGATCAAACAAATTTTGTTCTCTATAATTTTTTTTACACAAAAAGTTATTTAATGGTAATAACGGATACATACAAATTAATTTGGCAAATTTTGTTGCAAATTTGTCCAAAGCAGTATTTTCCTATCAGTATGTACTAGCATGATAGCATGTCTTGAATGCTTACAAGTTGTGACCCAATTTTTTTTTCAATTTCACTAATGCATTTTATTTTATTAAAACATACTTTGCTTAAAATTTTTATGTGTATTTTTACTTCCTTGTATGAGTAAATGAAGTATTGTAATCATGAAAAACTTCAGATATCATATTTTAAAAAAATATCCATTTTGACCACTCTCGAATACATCTGAACGATGTTTTTGCATGACATCTGTATGTACCAACAGAATAAAGATCTCTTTTTCACAAAACATTAAAAAATGGATTTAAGATGTATTCAGATGAAATTTTTTCATGACATTTGTACGTACTTATGTATGTATCTTGCATAATTCAAAAAAGAAGTAGACTCTGAATGTTGGAATTTTGTGTATGGGACTGCTATAATATGTAATGCTGCTTCTCCCTTTTTGGTTGCAATCAGCCACACTGAAAGTATATAAATGTATGTACATATACCCACTCTGTTACTCGGCTAGGTGAACTCACTTTTTTTATTCTTATATGTTGGTAAATTGTCAATTTTTTGTAGTAAAGGTGGTTGAATTATGTTGTTCGTATGTTCCGTTTAAGGTTTTTATGCCTTTAATTACTCTGCATGCAGTAGTTGTAGAATTGCCAACAATTTGAAAGTTGTCTAAGTGCATCTAAGCCTAATGAGCAGTCTTATTTGTTTATATTTGAAACTTTGCAGAATAGTGAATTAAGTCAATTTCTGCACCATCAGTATCTTTTTGCCGAGTGGGGCCAAAAGTAAACTTTCTTTGTAAAGCTTTGTGCATCAAAGAATCTGCCTTCTTGCCTGCTGGCAGAATTACTTGTTTTTGCTCAGAAATTCTAATTTTAATTGTAAATTTTGTAACTCTTTTAACTTTATTTGCTGTTTTATTTTTTCTGTATTTTACAATTTGTAATAAAGATGCTTTGAGGTTTTATGTATTTTTGCTGTGCCACGAAGGGAAAACTTAATTAATTGAATGAGAAATATATCTCTAATGAAATTTAAGGAAATAAGTTTAAATGAAATGCAGCAAAAAAGGTGTATAATTTAATAGGCCATACAAGGAAGTCATGTGTCCACATCAGATTTTTTTAGTATACTTTAAATGCAAGCATGCAACAGAGGCGAAGATAATATTTCAGCTGACTACAGACTCAAAGTGTTTTGTGAAAAAATTGATTAACTTCAGGTGTGAATTTGATGAAGATAAAAAAATAGGCTCTCACAAGCCAGTATTTTTGGTTATGATGACTGTGAAATTTTTGGGCATTTTGTATAATACTATAAGAAGAGTATAAAGGCCCTGTTTTCACTACTGCGCATGCATTGCGGTGCATTATGCGTTTCTCCAATCGAGTGAATTCACTTTGATTGACATCTGCACTCCAGTCGATGTGCGGTGATGGATGACGGACAGATAAAGTTCAACTATGTTCAACTTCTATCCATATGTTTGCGGATGCATTGGGTTCACGTGGTAAAAAAGGAGCAATCTATGTATTGTCACCAAAAATGAATGGCGGCAAAAGTAGTGATGAATGCTGGCTCAGGGAAAGAATGTTTTGCTAAAAAGTACTTATTTCTGAATTAACATTATAGCAAGAAATCTGTGTACTGAAAAAGGCAACAATCAGCTGAATTTAGTTTAAAAAAAAATAAGGACCAAAAAAAAAAAAAAAAAAAAAAAAAAAAGATAACTACAGTGCTAGTTCAAAGAGAGCAGTGATTACTGTTAAGAAAATCAGGAGCAAAAAAATATAATTTCAAGTCCATGAAATAGCAAAATTTGTCCTTACAATTATTTCCTAGTTCTGCATACACATTTACCTTTAATGAAAATGAATGTCTGACTATATCAAACTGCTATATCAAATCAGATAAGGCATTAAAAGATTTTGTTTTTTTTTTTTTGAAAAGGTAAAAACTAATAACGTTAATTATAAATTAAATTTGATAGCCTTTTAAATAGTCCACTGCATTAAAAAGTATGTTAAATTTGTATTTCTCTATTTATAAATATACCTTTTTGGCTAACATATATTTGTAAGCACATGGAATATATGTTTAGCAGTCTATTTAACTTCAATCAGAACACCACTTTAAAAAATAATATTTTTGTAAGAAATGTCCTAGAAGCTGAACAACAAACTCTTGGGAATTTTTTAGATGATAGCACACTGAAATAGGACCAAAAACGTTAGCTTTAAGAAATCGTTTACTTAATGATGTATATAAGCCAAAACTGCTAATCACATCAGTGTGGTAATAGCATAGTTGTAAAGCTGAGGGTAGGCAGGTCGTGAGTTCATATCTCATACTCTTTTTCCACCCTGTTTGCAACTTTCTTAGCTCCGTGTTCCAATTTGATCTGTATTTGTGTTTTATAATTTATTTCTATTATTATGTGCATTAAATATAATGTTTTATTTATGCTCTTATTTCCCCCTTAATTTTCCCCTCAAGAATTTATTTTGAAAGTTACGAGGCGTATTCTGAAACTAAATACCATTTTGAAAAGAAAAAAAAAATAGTAAAACAATTTTTTTTAATCCAATTTTATTTTTACATGAAAATACATGTCTTAAACTATTTTTCAACATAGTTTCCGCCAACGAAAGTTTCCAAAGTTTTTGTATACCATCGTCAAAGAAACTTCCCACCAGTTTTGATAACCACGACTCCACAGCATTTTTCGTGTCATCGTCAGATCCAAACGCTTGCCACCAAGCAACGCTTCATGTGCAGGAACAGTGATAGTCGGACGGCGCCAAGTCCGGGCTGTACGGCGGGTGGATCAAACTGCTTTTCCAATGAAACTGTCGAATTAATGATTAAGTGACACCAGCAGTATGGGGCCGAGCATGTGTGGGAGCAACAACACGATTCCTTTACTGAGCATTCCTCTTCATTTGTTTTGAGAGGCACGCCTTAGTTTTGTTTAAAAGTCTCACAATTCGTGCCGCATTAATGGTTTCACCCTCTGGGAAGAAATTCAGTAAGCAAAACGCCATTTTCCTATCCCAGAAGACAGTGCACATGATTTTTTGTGATGACATTGTCACTTTGAACTTTGTTTTTTCGGAGAATGAGTGTGTCTCCACTCCATGATTGTTTTTTTTGATTCTGGTGTGAAATGACACACCCAAGTTTCATCACCTGTCACAATTTGGTTTAAAACGTTTTCTCCCTCATCACTGTACCGCGTGAGAAATGTCAGAGCACTACCAAGTCGCTTTGTTTTGTGAACATCAGTGAGCATTTTTGGAACCCATCGGGAACACAGTTTGTGATAATTCAAGCGGTCAGACACAATTTCGAACAAAACAGTACGTGAAATTTGTGGAATTGCCTCTGAAAAAGTTGTCGTGAAGCGTCTGTTCTCATGAATTGCTTCATCAACTTTCCGTACCAAATCATCGGTTTCAACAGAAGTCCGCGCCTCGGCGTGGACATTTGTTCGACCTGCATTAAACATTCTTACCTACTTTCTCACCATTTGGATGGGATGGCCATTATAGTGGCCATAGAGTCCTCTCTTTGAAAAGACAGGGTTGTCCCACTTTAGTGCCAGTCTTTTTCCCCCCATTTTCAGGCTTGAAAAGTGGGGTGAAATGTCAAATTGACGTCCCTAGGGTTTTAACCACTTATCTCTTTCAAAGGTCTTCCTTTTGCGACACTAGCACCCTCTCTGAATCCATTAAACTACACACAAGAATCTTTGTTGCAAATAGGAGGTGATTACTTAAAGGGGGGAAAGCATTTGGTTCAAGATTCCCCATCCTTTAGTAGCTTTTACTGCTACCAAAGCCCGGTCTCAAAAGGTTAAACATTTTGAATGTGCACAGCAAACTGAAAACACAACATAGAGCAACCAAAATGGCAACAATTGAAAGTCAATGAACAAGAAAGACTAGTGTGCATGCTCGGGACGCCTACCACAGCGCTGTGACAGTGCTAGAATGAAACGGTACTTAGTTTCCGAATACGCTATGCATATAATACTTAAATATATATAGCATACTCCCTGTATATATATAAATATTTTTTTCATTTCACTTTTATGTGAATGTACATGTAATGAGACTTTGGAATGTGTCCAGCTTTCATGACCAATGAACATGAGACAGTACAGTATTAATAGCCTGAACATTTTTAATAAAACATTTTTTAAAAAACTTATTGTAATAATTGCTTTAAAATTCAGTTGTATCCAGCTGAAGCACAAGAATTTATTATTTAAATATTTCCATTTTATTTACCTTAGGTATGTATACATAAATAAAGAGATAAAAGCTTATCTTCAGAAGAGAGAGAACTTCTATAAAAAGCTATGGATTTAAAATTTATAAATTCAAAATAATATTTTATGGATTATGCATAAAATGCAACTGTGCATAGTGCATTTTAAAACAAACAAGGTTTCCAATAAATTATTCACTGAAGAAATTGATGCTAAAATTTTACATACTATATGTTTTCTTCCCAAATTTGGGCATATTTTAAAATATACAATCTCACATAGCAGTCAGTGGTATTACAAGCATGGCAAATTTTGTGTAAATATTGTGAACCTTTCTTCACAGTTGCTCTGTATTTTTAAGGTACCAGCTATTTTTAAATGTGTTTAACTTTTTTATTTGTTTTGCAGTAAGAGTACATTTTAGTTTTATTTATATATTATTTTGTTAGTATTTAAGGCTCCTAGAAACGAAAAGAAGTTTTTAAAAATCACTTTAGCTTTTATACAATTAGAGATGTTCATAATATGCATTTTAACCTTACTTATCTAAAAATTGCTAACTTGGTTTACCTTCACAATTTATAAGCAGAAATAAAAATTTCCAATAATATTGAATTTAAGTATTTTGAGAGTCCGAATCCCGTAAGTTAAATCAGGGACATCTATTGGTAATGAATGCAATTGACCACTGAGGTCAAGCATAAATCCAATGCAATAATGTAAATGGCCGTCCGTCTGCATAATGCGTTTCTCCCAATAGGCCACGTGTTTGTAATGCACTAATGGAAATGGGGCTTAACAGTAGTATATGAAATTTAACAAAAATCTGTATTATGGATATGACAGGAAGTCCACAATAGATACACAACAGTGTACAGAGATATATTCTCATAATATCTCAGAATAAAACAGCATCTTTGCTGCATATCACTCTAATTTCTCATGCTTTTGCTCACTTATGTAGAAAGACTATTCATCAAAACATGATAAAAGCTGGATTTAATGGCCAACATTAATAATAATACTTGCACTTGATTGCAAAGCTCAGAATTTTTAGGCTATGGTTTTTTTTTTTTTTTTTTTTTTTTTCCCAATCTTGCGACCATTAAACTTTAAAAGATTGGAAACATATCACTTCAGATGACTTGAGGTGTTAGTTGCATTATACTAATGGCAAAATGCGTCTGTGGCAGAATTCACAAAACAATGAATCTTTCATACCAAACTATTGTTTTATCTGTAGGTAGTAGTGATAGTAGTGTAACAATCTATAAATCAGTTTGGATGTCTGTAGGATCCATTATATGTTTGGGTATATTCGTAATGGGCATGTGATTTTTGCATACACTGGTAGGAAAAAGTTGAAGGAATTACTAAAAAACTCATATAAATGAAAGATTTTCAGCTAAGAGAATGGAACATGTACAAGATCTTTATTTTTGTTCTACAAAAAATAAGTTAGAATAAGAACATGGGAATTGTGATATAAAATGAGGTAGAAAGTTGTAGTTAAAACTGTGTAAAAGATTAAAAAAAATAATAATATCAAGATCCACCGACTGAAAAGCAAACTTTATGGCAATTTTCCTTGCTGCAGTGACAGAGACTTCAGTGATGCAAGTCAACATTTTAGTATATTCCACACTTGTTCTATTGAATTTAAATTAAGAGAATATGCGAGCAGTTCCATCTGTTGGATTCCTTTGCCCTCAAGATAGTTGGTTTCTATTGCAGTATGATGGAGAGGAAAATTATCATCCACTAGAGGAACTTAGTGCCAGTTGCACTTTCAAATAACTTGACATAAGAATAAAGAACCTCTGTATATTTCAGCATACATATTTGCTGTGGTAAAGATATATAGGTCAGTGCAATCATTTAAAGTGATATCTACCCTTACTACGATTCCACCACATTTGTACCGATGTATGTTGTGGATGTTTTCGGGCTTATTGCATAAGTTATACTTCCTCCAGATTGTAATACAACTGAAATTACTCTCAAACAAAAATTAAACTTATCAGTAATGAGAGTTCGGCTGCAGTTCATGGCTTTCCAGGCCCAATAATCTCTGCACTGCTGCAATTGGGCACATTTCATAACCTGAGTTAGTGGGGCACAAATCACATGTTTCTTTTCATGCAGCTTATCATTCATGGTGTATGTGGATAGTTGAGTTTCTGTAGCTGCAATGAACTCCCTTACAATTTCGTCTGTCATCATTTGTCTATTTCTAGCAATTTTTTCCAAATAATGGTCTTGAGAATCTTTCATGAGCCTTTAGAGTCGCTAGCCTCTGCTGAGGATAGAAGCTGTGATAACTTTATGGAGGCATCTAATAGGTGGGTAGTCATTGCCTTCTGTGAGGGGACAACCAGTTTACATCCATGCCTACTACAGGATTTGAAGCCATATCCTTCAGTGCAGTAGTCAGAGCACTTTCCTGTCTGGCTCGGTGAGGTCTTGAGAATCTGTTTTAGCACATTTTTCAGTTTGGACCTGATTGTCTATGTACATCACTAGTGTCTTTAAACATTCTCAGATTCTTGACATGATGCTTTTGACTACTTTTAAATCTTTATAAACTTGTTAGTATCTGTTTTGCTCACATTTTCTCAGTTGCATGCCATTTCTCATAATCTGTCAAAAGCCTTAACAACATATCCCGCATTCCATACATAAAAATTGTATCCAACTACTTGTATTTCCCTTGAAACTAGAATTTGAAGCATCCTCTTGCACTCATTTTTGCATGTACAGCACTTTTGTATAGCTATTCCTTTAATTTTTCTTGCAAGTAAGTTAAATCAAGTATTTATTTAAATTTCTGTCATTGCTTCAAGTAGGAAGATGTTCAAATATGTTAGTTAGTTAGCTTTAGTAATGATGTAAAATTTGTTCTCCAGTTTTGTAAAGAATTGAAAATATAAACTTGTATGAATATTTACATTCTTTTATTGCATTTCCCCTTTTCTTGCATAATTATACTACATTCCATCATAGTATTCTCTCATTCTTTCAAATATATCTGGCTTAGTAACAATATAAAATTTATTCTCCAGTTGGTTATAACAAAAGTTAAATGTGAACATATATGATTATTTATACTTTTTTATCACCACTTTTTTCTTGCATAATTATGCTACATTTAAACACAGTTATACCAGACTCTATCACTCACAGTTAGTGCAGGTTTGGTTGCAAAAATATTCCAATGAATTTGCAATCCTTACATGGCTTCCAGGTCCCAATCACAGTGAGAGTTTGGGAGATGGATAACAACATTGCTTTCAATCGCTTGACTTGCTGTCATATTACACAAAGGAGTGCTAGAAGTATTTTTTTTTTTTTTTAATGCTAGCAGAAAATTCCACTATATTAGTTCAAACACCTCATTAAATCATCACTAAGTTTGCTGTTACTCAAGTAAAATATAAACTAATAAGCTATTAATTAAATGTGTAATTTAATGTGCTCATATAGTGTAACTACATACACAATTCCTTCCTTTTTCATTTTGTTGAATGGCTGTTATCTGTATTTGTTACATTTGGTGATAACACTATAAAAATGCAACAAGCTAATCATTAATGGCAAAAATTAGTTATTAGACTTGTTAAATGTTTCCATGAAAACAATAGACTGTGCATCAGTATCCCACAGTTACTGAAAAAACAGCTTAATGCATTCTGAATATGCTTATGTTTGTCTGCTATTCAATATAAGATCATATCTTGATAAATTCTAAAAAAAAGACACTTAGCTTAAATGTCTCATAATTATGTGATTATTAAGATTATAAGAATAATAATTAAAATTTAAATTACTGTTGTAAGATTGGATGCATTTAAGTTGCCATTTGATAAACATTGAACAATCCCTGGTTTAGGTAATAAACTGGGTTTTTTTTAAGAATTAATCTTTGCAAAAATTTCAGGTTTTGAATCATTTTCTCGGTTGCGAAAGCCACACTTAAATCATGAAAAAGCTATATGGTTCTTATCAGTTATATTTAGTAGAAATTATGTGGTTAAATTCAAAAAGAAGTAATCTGTAAATCCAATACTTACTAGCTGAGAATATTGATAAAAATTTGATTAATTTTTAAAGAGGAATTTCATGAAAAGTCATTTCATCAAATATTTATTTTAAAAACTGATAAATTTGTATTGTTATTCATTTGTAGAAAAAGCAAAGGGTGGAGCCTATTTTGTACATGACTGAGTGGTTTATGTGTGCTTTTTCAAGAACTTTGCCATGGTCATCTGTATTAAGAGTTTGGGATATGTTTCTGTGTGAAGGTTAGTTTTCTTAATATTTTTAGATAATATCTAATGAAAGTTGTTCTTTTGTAATTATTTTTTGCGATTAAATGCAAGATCCATTTTGATGCATTTAAAAAATTTGTTTGATGAACTGGGGTTAAAATTAGAATCAGAATGTCATTGTAATCCAACTAATGGGAGCATATTCAGTTACTTAATTGATTTAATTAAATCTTTTGATTTCAGACTTTGCATTATGAGAAGTATCCTGTTTGTTGACATATTTCTCTCCCTTGCATATTTCTTTCCTGCTTATTTAGCATACAATATAAAAAATTTAAAATTTAGTTGTGTGACTCTCAACTCCCTTTCTGAATTTATAATTTGTAGGAAGTCTTGATAATAATATTGAAAACTTTGTAAAGGTTGGTCAGGTCAAAATTTTTCCATTAATAGCCATGGCAAAATGTTGTGAGTTCCTTTAAAGTTAATAATTTGACCTTAATCTAATGATCTTCATCATCATGCCCATCACCTGCTGAGATACTGTTATGCAAGTAAGGCCAGTGCAGCTATACTGGGTAGTAGAATTTAGGGATTGCAAAATGTTTAGAATTTAGAGAGACATTGGGAGGGGTGATATATGTACCATGACCTAGTGCAGGCAAGTATATGAAAGTAGTGTTTTATTATCTTTTCCTAGTTAATTCGTTAAGCAGAAAATGGATAAAAATAGTATCTAGGTACTAGGAGGACTATTATCGCATAATGGTACTAGAACTCTTGTGCAAATATCCTCTTTGCATAATGGTGCCAGTGCCCCTGTGCTGATTGTAGTAAACTGAATTAATGTTGCATAATGTTTTTAACCTAATATAATTGAAGCACTGCAATAATTACATTAATAAATGTCCACTCCTTAAATTTTATTTCAAGCAGCACAGCCTGTTATGTTCCTTTGGTGCATTTCTTTTTATAATGTTGAACATACAGTTGTAGTAAAAAGTAAATAGTATTGAAGGCTGTAACTGTAATTGAATCGTTTGAAATATGTAATATGTAATACACTGGTATTAGAAAATTCTCTTCATGTGTGCATTTTAATCTGTGAAATTCTTTCTTTCTTTAACTCTTGAAAACAATTAATGGACCATTCATACAGTTCTGTAAGTGAAACTTACTTTATCATCTACAAAAGGATAAACCTTAGCAGTGACTTAGTGATTAAGAACACTGAATACCGATAGATCAAACCCAGAAACCCAGCTAAATAGGCTAGCTGCATGGTTGGTTTTTTCTATGTGTAATGTGAATAAGAGCCAGTTTTCCTTAGGCAGATAGTCCTTATGTGCTTTTCTATATTCAAATAAATTAACCTACCCTTCAAATGGTTAATACCTTCTTTCTAAATTAGTGTGTATCATATACTGTATTTATTTATGCATCCAACATTTTACCAATTATACTTTCAAAATCTGGGAGAGGGGGAAGAAAGAAAGAAAAAAATTAAATGCTGTATGTTATTTATGAGGGAAGAAAAAATGTAAGATTACAAAGACATATTAATAGATATGCTAAAATTGCTGTTTATTAGACATGTTGCTCTCAAATGTTTTATTATAATCAAGTCCAATCCAAATCTGCTGCATTCTCTATTTGAAAAACATCAGTTGCAGTTATTGCTTCAAATATTATTTTTTAAATTACATATTATCTTTTTTATTAATCCATATTTTATATACTGCTACCCTAAAACTAGAAGTTCTTGAATCTTATGCTGGAAAAAACTGGGAAGAAATATTTGAAGAATAAATACGATGTATGCCATTAGAAGGATTTTATTTTATTACAGTACTATTACAAACATGTATATAACTTGTTGTTTAATACATATCGTAAATTACATGTAATTTGAATCATATCAGTTAGATATACTGTAAAAAAGATTTCAATGATTGAAAATTATACTTAATGCTTTTAAATCCTGCATTATGTTTAGCAGTTATATTCTGATTACATTCAAGTCATAAATATGCTTTTGAATCACAAAATAAAGTGACTGAGTATGCTTTGCCAAATGGGAATCTGAGAATCAACCCATTACAATGCTGTGGGGGGGATAAATATCATATTTCTTTCATTGCCACACCTGCTAAGTTGTGTGAATAATGAATTTACTTGGTAATGTAATATTACACAGTGAACCAAAAGTTTTGTAAAGACTGTGCTAAAGATATTTTTAAGAGGGGCGAATGTCTGAATAAAAACAGTAAGCAAATTTATAAAATATAAAGCATTTAAATTATTTAATTATAACTTTTTTGATTCATCGACAGCTTCTGATATCTGATATATATCTTCAGATTTATATTAATTGTAAATCAGAATAGTGATGTTTAAAGCTTGTGATTAAAAAAAATATAAGATAATAAGCAAATAACTGGACTATTTTAAGATTATTGGATTGTGAATTAAAAAGATTTAGAGAATTTTTATATCATTTGCATGTGATCATTCCATTGTATAACTTCATGATATAATAAAATATTTTGTTTCCATAAAACATTTTGAATTCAGCTACAGATTTATTCCTAATTTGTGCTATCGACTAATATTGCTTAAATTAAAATAAAAACTGGAGAATGATTGAGATTATTGGTACAGAAATTTTTATCTACGTTATGTGTGTGTATGCCATATTTACTCAAGAATGAGAACCCTTATTGTGCTGTATTTTGTTTAAAATATTTAGAGGATTCTCATAAACTGGTATTTTGATAACTAAGATTGCAGCATAAGAGGGAAGTGGTTTCATTACCTTACTATGTAAAATAATTGCACTGTTTAAATTCTAAAAAGTCAACCACAAAAGTAATGACCACATGCATAAGCTGCATAATTATAGCTTATTGTAATAGCCAGTCTAACTAAGTGATTTCAGTTTGGACCTGAATCTATTATCTGATCACTTGGTTGCCTAAAAGCAAATGTGTAATAATATACCCGTTTGCTTTCAGACATGCCAGTAACTATTCCTGATCTTTTTTTATATACATATATCATAGTAAAATGCTGTATTTAATTGGGTAGCTTTTATCATACATTTTATTTCTAAATATATTCATTTCTGAATTCTATCCACATACATTTTTATTTCTGAAAATATATTCTAAAATGTAAGAAGGGTCTCATATTTAAGGATGTCATTTTTTTGAGTAAATACAGTATGTATTAGGCGTGAATTAAACAAATATTTTATTACATTCTTCTGCATTTTCTTTTCATTTTTTATTTTCAGGTATCAAAGTATTATTCAAAGTTGCTCTTGTTATTCTGAAAAATGTCTTAGGAAAACCTGAAACATTAAGAAACTGTCCTACAATGTATGAAACTTTAGAATGTTTGCGCCATATTCCTTCTGAATATTTACAAGATGACTTTCTCATTTCTCAGGTATTTCTTTTTTTTTTTTTTTTTTTTTTTTTTTGTTTAATTCCTCTTTGCAAAAATAATAAAGTATTAAAAAGATAATTGACAGAAATATTATAAAGATGATAATTTAAAATTTTAAAAGTTAGTAAAAATTATACATAAAACTGTTTCATAAAAGAGCTGTCCTATTTAACTTCTTGAGTTCTTAGGTTACTTAATTCCTTCTACTTACCAGTTTTATATTATTCCTCCTTTACTTTTTTCTATAGCATTTTCTTGAAAAATTAATTTCTATTCCAAACTTAAAATATTATTAGAAATACATTATCTATTATTGAATGTTATTGAATTTGTAAATTGTAAATGAAATATTTTTTCTAGTTACATTCTTTTCTTTACATTTCAGTTTCAACATGAATATGCTGTTTAAGTTGTTTCAAACTCAATGTTGATCACGTAATTCAAATTAAAACTTCAATATCATAAAAGATGTCTTTTTGAATTCATAATATTCTTTATTCAAAATGTCACATTCAGCTTTTCTTATTTAATGCATCCCTCCATTCCAGAAATCATATTGATATGTTTGGACTATCTCTTTCTATTAATTAGAATCAATAATGTCAAATACGATTTCTTATTAAATGGAAAACCATCAATAATTTAAATCAGTTGATTAGAATCACAGAGTGTAATTAGAATTTTATATACTTAAAAGTAACATTATTCACATTGCTTATTAAGTAGGGGAAAGGAAGAAGTTATAATATTTTTACAGGGAAAATATGCAGACCTAATTTCTTAAGTGTATTATTATAAGTTTATATTGTATTTTCTTTACCAAAATGGCTCATTTCTTGATGAAAAGCTTCAAAAGCATTGGCTATACTAGTGAGATAGAAATCTGTAGCTGTGTTGGAAGAATACACTTCAGTAAAATTTTGTGTATTATTGAAGTATTATTCACATTTAGGCAACATATTAAAACATATTATAGATTAGGCATTATAGTTAACTAGAAATCATCATTTAAGAAAAAATCATATTGTAGCAAAAATTTAGTTTACTAAAGAGGAAGGAGGAACAAGTTTGGATTTGATAATTCTTCAAAGCTAATTTTTTTGAGTCACTAAATAAAAATGTCGATCATTTACATTTGATAGATGAATTAAAAATTGGAATGAAATATTGTGAATACATATGTAGGTGGAAGCTCTTCAGTTGGCTTTATTATATACATTACTATACAGTTTAATTTTTAGTCCTTTCAATTTCACATTTTTAGTTATCAGGAAAGGCTGAATCAGGTTAATTACAGTGTTCAGTGGGCTTGTAGCATAACAATATTTAAAAATGCATTATTATTGCTTTTCATTTTATAGAGGTTCAATTTAGTAATCAAATAAGCTCATAGCTTAGAGTAAAATGCTTTGTAAAAATTTTAATAAATGTGTATGGCTTCTGTTTCTGTAATTGGCAGCATTTATTTCAAAAATTAAAAAGCCTGTCTTCCCTTGAGCAGCCTCCTTTGAAAACTATAATAAAAGTAAGGTAATTAAATTTTTTAAATTCTGTTCCAATACATTTTGTAAAAACTGGCATTATTACTCTATGGTATTTTTAAATGCATTTTATTATGTTTTTTCTGTAATTGAAAAATTCTCAATTAAAAAATTGGAAATTGGGTCTTTATACTGTAATGCTTATTTTATCTCATAGATTTTAAAGCTAAACATAACTGAGCATGATATGGAGAAAGAACATCAAAGGCAAATAGCAAAAAGACGCACTCTTAGGGAGCAGCAGATAATGCAGGATAATATTAATGGGACTTCAAAGAATGCATCTAAAAGCTCTCGTCGCAAGGAATGAAATCCTTTGGCACTTTCTGTTGATATGTTTAGTGATCAATTTAGCAGTATCAGAAGCTGCTACTTTGGATATTTTAAATTTATTTTTACTATCTTTGACATGAAGAAATGGTATAAGAAATTGATTTAAACCTTTTTTAGTTTAATAGAGCTTAACAAGTTTAAGAAAAATAGATTAACACTTGTTACTATGAAATTTCTTAATTGTTTCATATAATTAATAAGAAATATGGAATCAGATTGCGTAAGTTAATGTCAAATATTCCATTTTATCATCACTAAATAATATTGTCAGAGTTAACTAGAAAACATTTTTCTTTACAACTTTTGAGAAATATAAAAATGCTTTTATATATCACAATATTACAGGTTGCTATGGTAAAAGTATACAAACTTATTAAAATTTATATTTTTATTTCCTTATATTCAACAAAAATTTATATAAAATGTTGTTTTTAATTTTTTTTTTTTTTTTTTTTTTTTTTTTTTTTTGTGTGTGTGTGTGTGTGTTTTCCAGTTAAATTAAAAAAAAAGTAATATTGCTGAATTATTTTTCAATATGATATTAGATTAATGATAAATAGTTAATCAATATTCATGCATGCTCAGTTAATTTACTTAGTATTAATGATGATAGGCATTTTTTTAACAAACTAGGTGTTGAAAGTAATGAAAATTAATATCTTTAAATATTGGGTGATGATTTTGTATGCAAGCTACCACTTTTAACTAGTTATTTATTTTTAAGATGACAGCACTAAAATTGGTTTTTATTTTAATCATTTCTTTTTCTTCCATTTTATTGCATGTCCAAATTTAAAAACAACGTTTTAGTAGCGCTATCTAAGAAATATATAACTAACTATATCATTACCAAATATTGAGACAAATGACTATTACCTTTTCCATATATACTGTCTTATGAATCTAGTCTCATTTTAAAGAGGGAAAAAAATTGTTTTGAATCCTGTGCTAAAATTATGTATTTTTGAGTTACATCTATTATATTCAGGTTTTCAAGTTTTAATACAGTATATATTTTTGGTTGTATGATTAGAGGAAAATCTAATTAATATTCATATGATAAAATATTTTTTCAGTATTTTTCACACTCAAATGCATGCAAAATTGCAGTGGATTTAAGAAGTCTGAATGAATATCGGATATTCAACTTTTATGATATATACACAATTATATCAATAAAAATGCAGCATGCCAGAGTTTTCTTGCAATTTTCACAATTTATCTAACTTCGAAAAGCAGCAAGTTGTTTAAATTGAACTGCGTAGTATTAATTATTAAGTTTCCTTCCAATGGTAGCTTTTTCATGTGCTATTCTTTCGGTACTTGTCTTCTGTAGGGGTCATGGTGGTAAAAAACAGTGTTCATGCAAATTTTCCAGCTTAGTGTGACTTATTGCCAGATATTGTAAATATCAAGGAAGCAAAACTGATTACAATAAATGATAAATTGGCAGTTCATTCAATATCTCTACAACCCGAGTTATTTAACCCTTGAATGATTGTGAGATTAAGCAATTCTTTCTTCTAATACGCATAATATATTTCAGTTATAAATTCGTTATGCGAGTCCGTGTGTTCATTCTGCTCTTTCGGGTGCATAATGAGAATGTGAGCTGAGCTCATTGATGACCATTGAAAGGTTAATTTGTATTGTTGTGGACTACCAGTTTGTTGATATTTCTGTGAAGGATTACAAGGAAGAAATTAATAGTTTAATATAAAAATTAATTACAAACAGCAGAGTAAATAACTTCAAGCACCTTAAGTAGAAAACAAATATCAACAATTCCTTCTTAGTATGTGAAAAATATTGGTAATTGCCACAATCACTTGCAGAGTAAACTCCCAGTTAAGTAATTCTTGCAGTCGAGTAACAATTAAAACGGCAACAACGACAACACTTGTCCAAGCTGTCTTAGCTACATTTATAAGGTTTGATATTGCACAAATTTCTTGAAAATTTTAATAAAGGTTTGTCCAGAAGGCTTTAATACGATTTTGTCAGCAATCTATTAAAAATAATAGCATAAATTAACAGAACTTATTTAATATATATGTTATCATACTTAATACAAATTAAAACATATCATAAAATTCTGTTTATTATTTTATTTAATACAATTTTATTATTAGTTCAATCATATGCAAACATACCAGAAAATTCATTTTTTACAGACTCATTCTGGTGGCCTCAGTTGAGCAATTGCTGCTAAATAATGCCATAAACATCATTTTCTTTTTTTTTTTTTTTTTATTGAAGGAAGATTGAAAATAGTAAAAATAATTAATGTTTTAAAATGAAAAGACAAGGCACAGTACAAAAACTATTTACATAATTAACTATTTTTTCTCGCACATGCACCTTAGATCAGTAACCATTTGTTTCACATAGATCAGTAACTGTTTGTTTCTTGGCAATGCATTACACACCCAATCTACTTTTTCACTAAGGATGTTATGCAAGACAAGTACCAGTCTTCATTATATAAATCAAATACTTGTTCCTATGCAAATAAAAGATTTTTCATTTCATTATAAATATATTTTTTCTTATTAAAAGTTAAACCTTGTAATGCAATTTACCCAGCTGTAACAGAATTATATAAAATATAACAACTCAACCAACCCAGTAAACTGTACCCAACTCTGACAGAATATAAATTGGGCTTTCATTTTCTTATATTCAGTTTCTTGATTTATATCCACTTGAAGAAAAAAATCTAAAGAAGGTACCCCTTGCACAAAAAAGGGGAGAAGTTTTGTCTCTACCATTCTTTTGGGCCGATGGATGAAATTTAACTTGCATTTTTCATGTCTTGAAATACGTATTTTGACACAAAATCGGACGTTTTTTAAAAACGAGACCTATTTTTTTCCATATTTTGATTTTATGACTCAAATTATGGAAGAATGCTTAGTTTTGTAAAAATCGCATGAGTAGTTTTTAAAAAATTAGCTTCTCGATATTAGTTGAATATGGTATGTATTTATTAATATCTTCTTTCTTTCAGATTGTTTCTTTCACAGTTTGAAATCTAAGTTTATTCCAAATAAAAGTCACCCATTTCTTGTGATTTATTTTACAATTTGTATTTTTAAACAATTTTTATATATTTTTCGAAAACAAATTAGAATTATAACCTAATAAAATTTTTACCATAATCTTAAAGTAAATGTATTTCTAGACATACCTGCAAAAAATTAGAAATTTTCATTTAAAATTTCTGAAGATATTGCGTGAATTTATATATTGGCATGTTTTGGAATTTCGCATATTTCTTGTAAGCGATAATAATTCCAAATATGAGTTATGCACTTTATTAAAATTAATTGAAAGAATTAACAATGCACCTTTTATTCCATTCATACACAGTGAAAGGGAAATGAAAATTGTTTGCCATAAATAAAGAATTTTGGCAAGTGAATTATTCTTGGCACAAACTGGGAAAAAATGTGCCAAGCCAAATTTTAAAATTTCTCTGCAAGTTTCTCATATTTTATAAAATTTAATATTTAGGCATAATTTGAGAGGTCTAGAATATGGAAAAGAAATAGTTAAGTGATTTCAGAAAAAGTCCAATTCTCTGTCCAAATACCTTTGTTGAACAGTGCTATATATAAATGTAATATATATCGTGTTGTGTTTTCGAGACATAAAAAACACAAGTTAAATTCTTCAGTCAGTCCAGTAGAATGGGAGATAATAAAACTGTCTCACCCCCCCTTTTTTTTTTTTTGTGTGTGTGTGTGTGTGTGTGTGTGGCAAAGTATATTTCAAGTATAAATTTAATTATTTATTAATAAGAATATATTTTATATTTTGTTATAATTTTTCTTATCAGCAAAATTGCTTAATCAAAATATGTTTACTACAGTGACCTGTAAGATTAAATTCTGTTTTCTTTTACTAATATAAAATGTTTTATTGTCTGTAACCGTTGGATAACAGTATGGTTTACACATTTGGACTCTGACAATCATATAATAAAAGTAACAAACTCAGCAGTTTAAATTTATGATTCCTGCAGTATTAATGCATTTTCAGCATTAAATCTTAAATAACTTTAATCACATAATTTAATATATTCAGCAATTATGTTTCTTTCTTTAATTTAGATTCAAAATCTACTTAAAGAAATGTACTAGATGAGTTTTTCTCTCTGTATGTCCATAAAAAGAGAAATCTATTTTCGAGGAAGCTGATTTGCATTTAATGTGCTAACGAATTTAGTAAAAAAATATCTTTAAATTTTAATTGATTCTTAAGGTTAATCCCTTTTAAAATATTTAATATAACTCTTAATTTTTTACAAGATCAAAATTAGTTTAGCAAATTATGTGTATCTGTTATTAGTAAAGAAATCAATTTGAAAAAAAAAAAAAAAAAAAAAATTACCTTAAGAAGCTTTAACAATATTTTGTAAATTAAAACTTATGAAAATCCTTGATCTGTGTACACAAAAATATTATCTGTTATTTGCATTCATGAAAAATTAATAGATAAAACTATGTTTTGTATATTTTGATAAAGAAATACCGTGGATTATACTGAAATTATTGTTAGTCTTTAATTTTGTTATGAAGGATTCTTAGTTTAGTTAAACTTATAGGTTGTATGTATATCCCTTTTCCATGTGATAATGCATTTGTAATATATTTACAAATTGTCTTTGTGTCAATTGTAGAGGTTATTTATGGCTGGATTTTTATTTATTGATTAGTCAATCAACAACACAGACCACTTTTCTGATGACCATTCATCTCAGGAAGTGTTTGTTGATATTTCATTACTTTTTTTTTTTTTTTACTTTACTTTTTAAGGAGCTGTCATATATATATATATTTTACTCTTTTGTACATTATTTTTTGTTCCATGTGTTGAAATTTTCACTTTTAATTATAAACTAAGTTATTCAGTGGTTTGCTTGCAAAACCTTTAAATATAATGTGTGAGAGCTGCATTAGGCTACATATACGAAATTGGGTAGATGTTTGATATTGGTCAGAATGTGAAGAATATTTTATGATAGAAAATTTCATTGCTGTAATCCTGGTGAAGTTGTTTAAGGAACTAATTAATAATAGTGTGAACTGTTTTCTGTATTGTCATTCAGATTTTATTATGGGGAAATCCAGGAATATGTGGTTTGAGGATAAACCAAGAAAATTGTTTGGTGAAGATTTGTAAACTATTGGTTATAAATAACAAAGTCTGAAGGTTATTGGCAAACTCATAAGAGTGCTAACTTTCAAGTAAAAAACTTAAATCTGTGATCTTCAGAGATAATCCAGAGTTGATAAAAACTTTTGAAT